TATTGCAAGTAGCAAAATTATTAGGGAAGCACTAAATTATCATTAAATTAATAAGGATTTGGGTTTAAAATCTCTACGGGTGACAAAAGCACTATAAAAAATAATGAAACAAAAAGCAGAATAATCCATAATAAAGAAAATGAAGTGGCGCAAAAAATTTGCATTATTTCACTTCTAGAACTGAATAAAATTGGACTCATATCACAAGTATTTCCACTCTTTTGTATGAACCAAAATTAAATCTTTGCGATTACAAAATTTATGACAGAAAAGGTAACATTAGGAAATAAATTGTCAACCGTAGTTCATCGGACTACCAAAAAAGATTTTGCATATTCGATCATTATTTCTGTACAAAAGATAACGAACAATTATTCGTAGACAATTATACAATCAGCTGACGACAGGTGAAAGAAATACAGATGGGCAGCCAGAATCTTAACGGCAAATCACGATAGAGGTGAATATGGGTAATCAAAAATTTAGATTTCAAGATAGACTTGTTGTAATTGCACCAGAGGGGAATTGCTTAAGACAATAATGTTGACCATGGGCCATATCAACCTCATTAATTGTTTTTCTTATAAACTTCGCCCAAAATTATTATTTTATGAGAACGTTAATGTGGATGTAATTTCTGCACAAAAAAATTTGACCGATAGGCAAGATCTTCGCAAAAAAGATTGAATGATTTTTGGATGAACTCGGATGATTATTTTTTTTATAAAATGACGATATATTTTTCATTATGTGTGATTATTTTCATATAAATAGAAATATTAAATATTTCTAGATAGAATAATTTTGTAATTCATCTAGCTTTGAGCTCAGTCTACGATGTACTGTAGCATATTAAATGATGCTAAACGCCATGTTTGTCGATTTCTTACTGGAGGACCCGTGTAAGAAGGTTAAAGAATAACTTCGAGAAAATTATAGCGATTGGGCGATTCAGATGAACTAAATTTTTTTTCCGGATAAACTAATATAAAGAACAAATTTATCGTGGTTCATGTGCGCATTGTGTATGTGGAGAGAATTAAAAATAGTCGTCCAATGGTTTGAAGCTAAATCATATAAGTTAAAAACGAGATTTTTCAAATATTTAAATTATGAATTAACTGAGCACAATCAATTAGCATAATAAAACAATTACCAATATTTAAATGGTGGGCCGGTAAGAAAATGATAATGATAACAGATAATAGGATGATGATAGAAGATTGAAAAAAGCGGCATACCAACAACAGGCTAGCTGGATATGGGAGATTAAAAGGATCAGTGAAGTAGCTATATATTAACTTTTCGGCGCGACAAATGGATAAAAGCCCTGTGGAGCAAAAACCACAAATAAGGAGAAAAAAAGAAAGAGGAAACGAGTGGCTTGGCTTTTGATTTCTCCTTTGTGCAACAAGAGAAAAAAAGAATCTACTGGACTTTTCGGCACTCGGACTCAAAGTGGGAAATCTTCAATCATTGAAAACCATTGCCGTTTGTAATTTGTCATAGTTTGTGAAAATTTTCCTCAACACTATCAAACACTAGCTTTAATCCATTAGCAATTTCACCTGTTTCTACATTTTTACCCCAAAAGATGGAGGTCCTTCCACATTACATTTTCAGTGCCGTTTTTTTTCTCATTTCCATTTGCAGTTTTTTCCTTTATATTTTTATTGATAATTTATGTTGGCTTGAAATGATGACTATGTCAGCTCTCCAATACTCAGTAATACTCTCTAATACTCAGTTATGATTTTGCTGATAAAGTGCTCTTGGTTTGGTTCTTTTAAATATTATTACATAGTGATGGATTGTAATCCAATGACAATCGAAATATGTTTTTTTAAAAAATATTTTCCTTCGTACCCACTAAAATATAAAGAATAAATATTGAATGGAAAATTTAAGTCTTTAGAACATTTAAAAATTGAAAATTTGGGATTCTACTCTTGCAAGAGTAAAACTGTCTTTCGAAAATTCGGGCAATGGTGACTATGCTTGTTATTGCAAAATTTATTTGATCCATCTTCCAAAAATTTGAGAATCCAGCAAAGCAAATTTAAGAAATGGTGAGCATTCTTTTTAAAAAAGTGAAAATCCAGAAAGGAAAAAATCCATTTTTTTGATCGAGAACCAATATTCAAGTGATTATAAAATAAAATTCAGTCGTTCAAAATATACAAAAATGCCGGATACAAAAAGCATGTTGCTAGCAATTACGCATGCACGCATTGCTTTCATTTGACATACTGAAAAACGTGCATAACATGCACATTCATATAGCAGAGAAAATAGTGAAATAGGGTAATGAATGTATGAATCAAACAAAGCGATTTATTTGCCTGGAAATAATGAGATAGTTCGATAATTTTAGATTTTCCGAAAAGTTTATGCATAAATTGATGCTAAGTGCTATGCATAAATCTGTTGGATCATCTGAATGTTCATTTCCTTCAATAAGAAATAACCAATATTTTGCTTAAAAAATTAACTGATTCACAAGGATAATCAGAAAAAGTTTATTTCTAACTCAACATAAATCTGATTTCCTTTAGTTATATTAAGTTTTTTTGTATTTATATTTATTATATTTATATTAGACTATTATATTTTTTTATATTTTTTTGATTTTTCTAGATAATCATTTACCTATATTACAACTTAAACTATAAAATATGGACATTTTCACTGATAATGGAAAATAGTTGATTAAATGAATATAGCCTTAGGCATAACCTCTTTGTTCAATATTCATCATTTTACTTTCATTCTGCTCAATATTTTCGAAAAATATTGTATTTCCTCTTAGGTATAATATAACTGCTCCAAGTATTGTGCATAGATATTTCTTTTCAACTAAAAGTATTCCTTAGGACGAAAAAAAACGAAATGGTGTATTTTTTATCGAGCAAATGGACTTTTAATAAAGTATATTTTACAAAAGCTATTATAAATTGAAGAGTAAATAAAATGTGCTAATTATTGCAAAATAAGGGTGAATAAAAAGCATTTCGTTTAAACGAAAAAATTAGGGCATTTTTCACTGGCAATGGAAAATATCAAACTTAAAAACCAAAGTCTAATGATAATTTTGATAATGCAAGACTTGTTAGGTTTTTCGAATGAAATTCGAATAAACCTGGTTTTTTTGAATTTTCTGAATAAAATTGGGGAAAATTGAGGAATGAAGAGAAAGTTATAAATAAATTTATGAAATTGTTCATTTCTCTTTGTTCCAAAATTGTTCAAAATTTTGTGGACAAGACAAATTAACTTCGAATAAGAGATTATTTAAGCATAAAATCTATAAAAGTTCGTTCAAAAGTGGTTTTATTTCAAATAAATATTAAAATTACAATTTAATTTGAATAAATATTGAAATAATTTCGATGGAGGAAAAAGTGAAAAATTCGTAAAATTTGCAATTAAACTGCAAATTTGTTCGATGGAAATTTGGAAAAAAATTATTATTGCGAAATTGAAATTTTAGAAATAATTCGAGTAAAATAAAAGTTATCATTTATAAGAACATTGTTTAATCCATAAAGCATCAATTGTGGTTCGACAAACATTCTTGCTTCTTGCCACTTCTTCTTTTTATATCGATTATCGCTTCAAAACTATTTGCTATTTGACATTTGACAATTTTTTGCCTAGAATAAGTCGAGAAAAAAAACAGCTTTTATCTCTAAAAATTTATTTTAAATGTATTTCATTCAAAAATACAAAATTAATATCGTTTTTAACGACATTAAGCTATCTATGAAATTTCGGAAATAATCAGTTCGCTTATGCACTTTTTATCAAATTTTATCAATATATTTATAAATATAAAACACATTTAAGATATTGGCAAATACGATAAGTTTGATATTCGTGCGACAAAACATTCGCTTTTGACAAAACATTCGCTTTTGAACCGTTGTTGTGAAATATTGAATGCTCATAGGCTTTAACTGTTTTAAAAATGATTGGAAGGAGAGCAAATTAATGAACGAAAAACGGTCAAAAAAATATTGAAAGAATGATAATGTGTGGGAAAAAATTCACCTCTTAGGCTATCCAAATATTCAACAATTAACAATGGTAATTCAGTTCAGCCAAAAATTTTTATCAGTTCTGGCAAATCGTATACCAATTTATAATATAATAAAGGCCTGAAGTAAAAGCTTAGAAAGGGGATTTCATTTTCAATTGTTGAATTGAGAATTTTCAACTGCTGGAAAATTATTTTGTTACGAATGACTTTATTTTTTATCAAACTTAAAACAAAAAAACAACCGATATACATGATGAAGAAAAAAAGAATATTTTTCACATAAATTTTATGTAAAATATTATGTAGAATATGAAATATTTCTATAGAAACGAATAAATTATTCGTTTATAAAATAAACAATAAAAAATATTCATTTAAGGACAAATATAAAACGAAATATTTATAATTCAAAAAACATTTGTAAATTTTTTTAATATTTTGATTTGAATATAATCAACTCAGTGATAAGACAACGAGAATGAGTGATAAATTGAGAGAATATAAATGCAGCTTTCGTGCCTCTTTCTCGAAATACATGCAAAAATAAATGGAAATGCCTCGAATTTCATCGGCTTACAAGCGATATCATTAAATTTTCAACCGTAAAAAAAAGGAAAATTGCACCAAATCGCATTTAAATGATTCTGGCAGACGATTATTCGGGATGATTTAAAGGCTATGTTCAGTTGAAAATATTGAAAAAGAAAGACAAAATTTCCTAATTTTTTGAAAAAAATTTCATTAAATAAAAATTACATAAATGAATAAAACATCAAATAAACGACGAAATACAATTCAATATGAATTTTTTTCCAGAAATATTTCCCGACAATACAGCAATACAGTTTTGAATTACAAAGCATAGAAAATAAGTAAATGAGTGGAGAAAAAATATACTTGCAAATGAGATCCTCCTCTTCAACTTTACTTTATTGATACTTTATTGATTGTAGCGATAGTTTCAGGAATGCGTCTTATGGTAGGTATCCTTGTTTTTGTAGGCAGCCACATAGCCACTATCGTCTTTTATATCCTCTCGGCCTGCTTTGCCTTTACCCTTACCTTCTGCATCAAAACGTTCCTTATGAGCTCCTGTGTATTTTGTATGATCTGTTAGCCGACTATATACGCCATCAGCTGAGGCTTTTGAAGCGCCTTTTATTGAAGGAGCTTCTAATTTTGCTAGTTTCTCGATAATACCATCTAATTCGTCCTGAAATTTAAATAAAGAAAAAATGGCTCATCTAATACTTCTACGTTTTGTATTTCTAAACAATTTGGAGAGATATGCCAGAAGCGTTTTTCCTACAATAAATTTGTTATTTTTTCCCCGATGACGATTTTTTTCAATTTTATTGCAAATTTTCATTGTTTACTGATTTACTTGTTGCCTAATAGTTAGCGACATAAAGTACTTGTGGATCCTTTTTTGAACTTCTTGCACGATCTTCAGCAACTGCAACTAAAACTTGTTGAGTTTCAGAAAAGTTGGCTTTCTTTTTCGTTCTACAAATTATTCGTTACGAACAATCGAATAAAATAAGGCATATCCACTTCGATGTATGATTTTTAAGACCGAATTATCATATTTTCCAATATCGAATTTTATTTTGTGAAAATTTAAATAATTGGCGAAAAAAAAAAGATCCTTAAGCACAAATATTCTCAAGTTTCTTTAATGATTTTTATGTTGCAATCTAAATATAATAATCAAATTTCTAAATATTCTCCTTTATTAATATGTGTTTGAACTCAATATTATGGAATGTGATATGCGTAAAATTAGGAAAATGATGTTTTTTCGATTGAAATAATAAAGGAAGGTTCAAAATTAGTAAAATTTTTTAATAACCCGGTTATTTTCGAGAATGCAATTCCAGTCATCGTTGTTGTTATGGTTTTGGCGTCGATCACTCCACCATCCTTTAGCCATTTATCGAAATTTTTCCCGGTCATTTCTGTCGCTGATGCATTACCAAATTTAACAAATCCTTCCCATCTAAAGAAATAATTCTAAAGAATTGTATTTTCACAAAAATCTTCAAAAAATCATCAAAAAATCCATTATTTACCTTTAACTTTTCTGCCGAACATTTTCTCGCACTGAATTCACGTAGAAAATTCGAAAATTTTCAAATGGAGATTTTTTTGAAAGGAAAAAAATTTAAATAAATTAAATTATATATATAAATTACAATGGTTTTTGTTTGGTCATCTGAAATAATTAGCATTGGATTGCGAAATTTAGAAATGTCCCAGTTGTTTGATGATTATTGCCAACCAAACTACAAATGATGCGTGAAGAAAAATAAAATAAAATTTACTCAATAATATTGTCCATCAAACAAATTTAATCTTAATCATTTATTGTGCAATTAGATTAACTTTAGCAAACTCTAAAATGTGAAAAATTCCATTCCATTACTAGTGCTGATTTATTTCCATAGAAAATCGCTAAAAATTCATTTACTCTATATGAATATAAATAGAGAAAAGGACTGATAAGATAAGATAAATGAGCAAATGACCAAATTTGGAGAACGCTTTATAAGAAATATTTGTTGATTTATGCATAAAATGTCACGCATTTTTCATGAATAGATGAACCGAGAGCAAATCAACCGGATTGTATTTTCATATTGAAAGTATTAAATAATGGAAGAAGTACCCAGAGAATAAATTTGCCACTATTCGTAGGTAGCGTTAAAGATTACTTACGGTGGTAATCAAATTTCATAATCTCATTAATTTTTCTTCGTTTTGTTCAAAATTTAAGTTCTTTTTGACATTTTTAATAAAATAAATAAATTAATAAAAATATCTTTGTGTCGATATTGTTAATGCAGATGGCATTTGAGGGAAAATGTAATTTTGTACAACACTCGAAGGGCACCGCAAAATGTGCCATGTCATAGTCTAAAATATGAGCGATTAGGCAGTTTTCCGATATCTCCCACTTACCATTTTCTGATATCTCCCACTGACCATGCTTCATAGCTATGCAAAAAAACTGGAAATGGTGATGAGAAATGAGAAATTTTAAAGGCCATAAACATCACTTATATTTTAATTCACCATTTCGACAAGCAGACATCATCAGTTTCTTAAGAACATCCCTAACTTCTTTGCGAAGCAAACCACACATGAATTTATGAAATTTAAAGTGCGTCGGAGAATAATTCTTACGAGAAATCCTATTTGAACATAAATCTAATTAAACGACAGGTTGTACGCTTACTTTATTCCTAACATGTGTGGTACCTGGAGAAAAAGTTTTAGTTCCAATTATTTTAATTATTGATTTCTTGATTAATAATTCAATGTGCGGGTCCACATGACCTCTGTTATAAACAATAATCGCATAAATGTTATCGTATTGCATTAATGATTTTTTCTAAAATTTGCTCAAAAAATTTGTTGTTTTTCATGAAATATTCAAAAATTACTAATCGGTGAACACAAGAAAGTAAGACAAACTTTTATATTTTAACGAAAAATGCTGGATGGAACGAAAGTTTATCGTTTTAAAAATTACGATTTATTAAGATAATGAAATGATAGAATCTCAAATGAATGGATTATGCATATTATCAAATTGTTTATATGATATGATATCTTCCTTGGAATTAACTTGGATAACCTGGCTTTAAATGGCCAACATCGATTAAGAAAATATTCATTTTGTGAAAGACTGTTTTTTCAAACACCCGACTGAAGTTGGCCATCAATGATAATTTATAGGAATACAATGAAAATCCGAATAATTAAAGGACAATTTGATATATGTGACCCTGGTTCCGCTAAAATGGCAAAAATGATTGATGTTGACAGGAATGAGAGGGAATTTTTTCTGCTTCTTCGAATGAATCGGGAAATTTGGCATTTTTTCATTTAAAACCCTGAAATTTCTCATTCCCACAATTCCCTCGCAAAAGAAAATCTTTTCACCAATTTTATTTACGCTAATCTTTATGAAATTTGCTTAACCTTCTGCTTACATTCTGCTCACATTTAGCAAAATTTAGCAAAAAAATGTCCCAGAAATAACAATAATCCAAGAAAAAAACCGCCTAATCTCGCGATGAGCGTTGTAAAAAAGCAATGGAAAAACTTCCCTTTCTTAATCTTCGCCGTATACGAATTTTTATTCTCATCAAATCGAATACGAAATCAAATATTTACGGAATCGAATATTTACGGAGAAAAGTGCGTTCTCAATTAATTTCAAATTTCGCTTCACCGGAGTCCTTGCAAATACTTAGCCTACGAGCGAAACTAAAATCCCATGTACTAGAGGAACAGAAAGCAGAAGTAAGAAATTTACTGCTATTCGTTTAAAAAAATTACTATTATAGATGAGAAGAATCTTTGAAAATTCATAAATTACAACAGCATAATATATTTAAAAACAAAAAAAAAAATTTAGATCATTGTAATAATTTTGACAAAATTTTAATTCCAGCTCGAAAGCAAGAATCCTTAAATATTTACATCATCAATGCTTTAAAGATGAGATACACTCGCAAATAGTAGCTTCGGAATAGAAGCACTCAGGTTTGCCCCGGTGTTTCAATGGCAGATATGTTTCTGCTAGGGGCAATGACGAACCATTTCGTTTAAATTGATAAACAACCTGAACAGTACGCCCTTCCCAATGTCCCAATGTCCTAAATAATGTCCCAATTAATGCCTAATAATAATGCCTAATAATTTAATAGTTTAACCGATATGAAAGCCAAAATCGAGAAAAGTCTTACTTCGTTTTCATATCTTTCGGGTCCCAGTGAAATTCGTAGTTCTTTTTATCAGCCATTTTAATGCTGAAACAGTGAAAAAAAAATTGAAAATTCAAAATTCAAAATATAAAAAATTGATTCAACGAATGCGCAAAATATAACGTAAGGGCATAAGCATTACGATTTTCAATAATTTTATTCAAATCCATTTTTTTTCAACTTTTTACTTTTTCATTTTTTATTTTACAAATTATTAATTTGTCTTCAAACAAATTTCCCAAATTTCCTTCTTATTGGCTATTAGAATCAAATATTTTCAGCAAACTGTTTTTTTCTGAGAAAATTTTTTTTTATAATTTATAAAGTAAAATAAAGTAATTTATAAAATAAATCAAATATTTTATTTTTTACTATTTTTGTCGTCGACTTAAAATAATCAGAAAAAGTAGTTTTATTTTATTTTCAAGCTCTAACCTCAAACTTTTAATGTTGTTTAACTTTAAGATAAGTGAAAAAAACAGATTTTATCTTCCGAAACCAATTTCTACCCAATTTCTGATTTCAGTGAGAATCGACAATAAAAGGTGACCTATTTGATATCAAATCAAAACAGTCATAACAATGAAATTAAATTCATAAAGGTTGATTAATTCATCAAGTTTTTTGTAAATTTCTCAAAATCGCTCGAAACAAATCGCCTTAATGCCGACAATAGGGAATTCATCGACATAGCGAACCATAAATTCTCGCCTTTCAGTATCGAATCTGTTTTCACACACATCCAACCAATTTCCAGATGTCTCATCAATGAATTGCTTTGCAGTTATTTTCGAGAAATAAGACTTTAGCAAAGCTAGAAGTTAGGATTTTCAAGCAATTTAAACGATTTATTTTGAAGAAAAAAAGCGAATATTCGTTTAGTATTAGTGAAAATGAGAAAAGCCAATGGAACAAAAACAATACGGCGATTGTCACCGATTAATAATAATCGCTTGAAAATTTGTGTAATATTCACTGAAAATTTCACATCAAAGAATATTTTATACAGATTTGAATGCAAAATGCAATGTAATTTCAATGCAAAAAATCCTTTAAAAATAAATTTTTAAAAAATTTTTATATAATTTGCTTTGAAAATTTGCTTTGTTTTAGCCTTTTTTTGTAATGAAGTCGAACGGCAGCTCAGGTTAACACCTGCAGCATCAAGGTTCGAAGCCAACTTCCACTATGAATAAATCTGTTGTTACGAAATTTGAGCGGCGCTTAGTACCACCTCTGATTTTAACAACAACAACCATCCATCTCTTTTGTAAAAAATTTCTCATTACTTTAGCAGCAAATGGAGATAGCTTAGTCATATATGGTGAGCATTAACAACTTATTTACTTATTGAAAGATTCATAGACAAAATTAACTTTACCAAAGAATTTTTATTGGTTGGGCAAAGTATTAAAAATGTTGAATCGGTGAATGAATGTTGAACTTATTCATCAATCTATTTTATCGAAATCACTTTCAGTAAATCCAAAAATTTTAGAAATCCTTATTTGCCAGATATGGGAATATTTTCCACTGCTTCACGTATAAACAAATGCATAACAACAAGCTTAATGATAATTGAATAATCTTTCATTTTGGAAAAAAGCTTATCAGTATGTTAAGCTTATCAGATTTGGCATATAAAATATTTCGATAAAAAAAATACAGATTTGTTGATAATTCTGTCCAAAAAATAACGCTGAATTAATTAACGAATAGAAAATAAGAAAATAAATAAAAGTATTCGTAGTGAAATCTTGAATAATCGTTGCTTTTAATTTCTAACTTTTAAACATATAAAAATATAAAAATAAAACTTAACGAATGAATTATTTCAAAATTCATTTCGATTTTTTTCAGATATAAACACAATTTATAACCAATTCATCTGAGATATTTAGGTGAAAAAATTCCGTAAGATTTAAGTCAATATTAATTCTATTAAAACGAATATTGAAAAAAGATCAAAATGATTGACAGACAATCATATTTTCGATTTGCATGACAGCAAGCAAAATGAATTCGATTCGTATTTCGTGCTACTTATTAAGGATTTGTAAAATAAGGAGGTCCATCCAAAAGACTCAGCAATTTTTATTCATTAATGATTCCCTTGTAAAAAATTAAAAGATAAGGATAAGAAAGGACATAATCCAGCTGAAGGCAGCTAAACCAAAAACACTGAACGCTATTAGGATGTTTGAAATTACAGTTAATAGCGCTTAGTGATAAATGATTGTGCTATTAACATGGCTTATTTAGCATAAAAGTAAGGAGAGATAACATCAAATGTTTCTCGCTGAAAAGAAGGATGAAAATATAAAATGTTGCTTGAATTAAGAACAGATGGCAAACAAATGCGATGTATGAAAAATACCGATACGAAATGAAAATAAATTTTTCATTTCACCTTGGCTAATAAATCCTTCAAAATTAATAATCTTTATTTAGATCACTGAAATTTATTAAAATTACGATTACTGTTGCGGTTAAAATTACGACAACCTACTATTATCAAAAATTAGAATAATAAATTAAAAATTAATGCAAAAACATTGAGAAATATTCAAGAAATATTAAGAGTACTAAATGCGCTAACTTGGGCGAATATGTTTAGATTCGAAGCATCAAGGTTCGGCATTTTACCTTAGTAGTTATTAGTATGAATGAACCTATTACCAAAATCTCTAAATGATGCTTTGGACACGTACGTCCTTTATGGCCCTATGGAAAAACTTATCCTAATAATAACCAATGGAGCGGGCCTTACTCCAAGCAAAATGTTGAACATTATTTTTCCTCATCTATTAGCGAAAACTGGACAGTTTTCTTCTGCTATTCCTATAACACCATTTTTAATAAATTACTAAAAAAAATCGGCATCAAAAAAACCATTCAACCATTAAAAAGGTAATCTGATGTAAAATGGAATTTGATAGCATGTAATAACAAACAAATAGTATGTGACTTTTGCTAAGACGAGAATAAAAAGCATTTCAAATTTGGTAAATCTGGGTTACTATATGAATGCTTTATAAGCCTCTGGATTTGCAGAATCAAGATGATCGATAGGACATTTGATGAAAGAAGAATGAGGAAGTAAAACGTTGAAGATATATTCAATAAGATTTTCTGACTAACATTAATAAAGATAAATTAGATAAAAAACCAAATCCTTGCAATGAATGATAAGAAAATCAACAGTGCTGTGAAGTGATATCACAAATGATTTCGTCAATGAGCAATAGAAATTCGAAGTTATTTTTTTAAAAAAATTCAGTTAACGAAATTGATTGCCTTGAAATTTTCAATGATCCAACAGTTGAATTTAAACGAAAAAACGGAAAAAAAAGCGAAAAGATAAAATTTAAGGCAAACAGAATCATGTGAAAAAAAATTTTTGCTTCAGTGAAAATAAAAAATTTCAGTTGAAATTATCAACTGAAATTTAGAAATTTTCCCTGAAAAAGCAATATTCGCTGATGAATTTCATTAACATTTCAATTACTGCTGATGAGCCAGTATTTTTGAAATTTCCCTCTGGCAACTAAAAGAAAATGCCAACATTTTTTCGTCTTCTGCCAACAATTCAAGCATTTCTCCATGCCCGAGGTTTTTTTGATGTGTCTTTACGCAGCATTTCTAAGGTTATTCTTGGCTTCTCAAAGGCAAGAAAAAAATTCGCGATTAAGGATGCCACTTGAAAAAAACGACCGCAAACAACAAACGAAAATTTCCAAAATCGAAAATTCTCTGTTCAAAAAAAAATGAAAAATTTCTCTCTCAAATGAGTGAAAATGGATAAATGTAAAATATTTTTCAATTATTTTAAACCGAATAAAATAATTTATAAAAGAAAATTGGAAATTCTTCCAAAAAATTTTGAAAATTTAAGGATGAAAGAAATTTTAAAATTCGTCAATGCAAAAGTAATTTTAACGACCGCATCGCACAACTGCAAAGGAGAAGATTCACCATTTATTTGTATAAATATATTTGGCATTTTGTCAATCGATGTTTTAAAATAATTTTCAAAAATTTTTTTTAAGGTAAATTTTAAAATATAAATTGGAAATTAATTAAAAAAATATTTTTGTTCACGTTCATTGATCTTAAAAATATTTTTAAATCGATTCGACCAAATCTCGTTTGCTCTGTCTGCAGGGATGAAATCCGCTGGTGGCCAACCTATATTCGCATCGCCAGGTGACTTCCTAGCGAAATTTGTTCGGTCCGACGAGTCGGTGAGGCGAGTCCAATCAAAAGCAATGAAAGCCCAGAAGAAAAAATTCAAATTCCATCCAAGCACTTTACTTTGCATTAATTTCATTATTATTTTCAGCTAAATATATTATTATAATTCCAAAACGAAGAAGCAAATTACAGTAAATGAGTTATTTTAGATGGAAAACCTTTTGGCGCCAAACCTAATTCTTCGGCTTTTTACCGTAGCAAAGGGCGACGAAAGGCGACAAAATTCAGATTACAGTTTTAACTATAATTCCAATTAGTGCATTATAATAGTGATAATTTTTAGGGGACAGAACGCCCGAGTGGTCGTTGCTTCAGACTGGCGTCGGAAACGTCGAGGTTCGGACTTTCTCCATGGCGGATATATTTCTGATCGGTTATTTGAAAATCCTCAACGGTGCTGCTTGCTTACTTCTTATATTTATCTCTAAGTAGATCTCTATGAGAAATGTCAACCGACAGCCGGCGGAGCGAGCCGTCTAACGCGAAATGAAGAGCGCTTTTTGCGAAATTCCACTTTCGCGGTTTCAAATGCCGTTCCCTACCTCCAACATAAATTGATTTTCCCAGATTAATAATCGTTCCGAGGAAAAACTTAATTAATTTGATAAATCTAATCAAATTTATTATAAATATTACGGTAGAATATTGTGCAGGCAGTTCAACTGTGTAAAACTTTATGTTCCATTTTGTTGAACGAAAAAGTGGCGAACGCAAATTTTCTACTGATTGTTTAAAGTACATAAATTATAAATAAAAGCAATTTATAATGATAAACCAGCGAAAAAAAGGGAAACTTCGCTATATTTAAACAAGTGAAGTAAATGAGATAAGCAAGTAAGTAAGTAGAAGCATCGTAGAAGCTGTTGTCTTGCGGGATCGATTCACCCGTATTTCGCGAGTTGGGTTTATTCCGCGTCGATGAAGCTCGGAAACATTGATTGTGCTTCACTAATATTATTGATTCTCTTCTTATATTTGCCAGAAAAATTTTTGCAAAATTGACAAAAATTCTATTAAATGAAAAATTATTTGAAAATTTATTAATGGAAAAAAAATAAACCTAATTAATGAAAAGTTGTTTCAAATCGTTAAAGTAACAAAAAAATGACAAAATTTTCAATTCGATTTGACTTAGCTGAAATTCGACACTTATTTAACGATTTCGCTTTCTCCGAGTGCTTTATTGACTAATCGAATAATATTCGAGCTTTTAGGCTGCCGTAAAGCGACATTTTGGCGATAAAAGTGTAGATAAGTTCCCGGCATCAACGATCTTAAACCCCTTCTGGCCCTTAGGAGCTTTCTTCCTCATCTGACAGCACTCACAATTTCTTCATTGACTTCTAAGCTTTAAAGCTTTTCCAAATCAATGCTTAGTTTTTATTTTTGCTTAAAAAACGATTTCTATTAAAATTAAAATATCGTTGAAAATATTAAATATTAAAATATTATTTCTATTAAAATTCTACTATGAATAAAAAAATATTAAAGAAATAAGTGAATGCACACTTGCAAATAATAAGAGAACATTATTTTCAACAAAATCAGCGATAAATATGAAATGTAAAGTGAAAGGAAAGCGCAAATGCATTCAGCGCATCCAACTTTATAATAAACTGGTTGGCGAAATTGTTTTGCACTAAAATTACTTTTTAATTGCACTTATTTATATTTAGAAAATTCCATATTCCTTACAAAGATCGCCTAAATCGCTTAAAATTTATTAAAAATAACAATAATATTTTATGAATTTAAATGAATTATTTATCGAACACTGCGATGTTTCCACGAAACAAATGAACAACTCGCATTTTTATTTTTGATTTATAGACTCAAATGATATTTAAAATTATTAGCAGAAAATTTCGCAAGACAAGGTGATAAGCGATAATAAGTGATAGGGAAAGGTTACGAGTATTTGCAACATAACTTTTCCAAAGTTTGGAAAGTGCTCATTCCAATAGCCCGTAGCAGTAAACTCGGCCAGAAATCGTGGTATTTCCATCGTATTTTGCTTTAAACCATGAATGTTCAAAAAATAGTGCCAACAACTAACCTTTATTTTTAAATCCTGATCAAAAATTTTAGAATCAATTAATTTGTTCAAAAGTAGGCATCCTTTGTTAAATATTGAAATTTGCCAACTACCAACTTGGCCAATGCGTCAAACTACTCAGCCATTCTTATCTTTGATAATTCTTTTCTTCTCGATTTAGTATGTTAAATCGAGATAAAAAATTAGAAAAAATTAGAGCAATTTTTTTTGATGATTCAAATAAATATTATATGAAAAATTCCGAAGTATCACTGATTTAGATTATATTGAATATAATAGAAATGATAGTAATTTTTTGTTATGAAGCTGTCCAAATCAAACTGCTTTGTCATTTTATCGAAACTTAAAGTCTAACCCGATTTTATACAGTTCAGTATACCCAATGCAACAACATAATAAAATAAAATGCTTAGAAATGAAGATAACAATTATCGGCAATTTAAGAATCTTACTTACATATTATATTACATATATACATGTTATATTTTATTTTGCAGAATATATTTCAGATAAAAAAAACACTTTATTTTTTGAATTAAGTTTTTGCAATCATATTCAGAACATAAACAACTCAAAAAATCCATACAAACGAAGAATTTAAAAACTTTAAAAGAAAACAAACAATAAATAATACCCGAACAGAAACGAAATAAACAAATAATCTTTCTTTTTAATCTATTTTCTCATTCCACTTCCTTTTTAATTTCTTCTTTTGGTTCTTCTTCTTGACAGGATTTTTCATTCAATAAAACGAATTCTCGAGTACTATACCCAAACTTTATTAAATCCTTTTCTCGCAATTCATAATACCTAAAATAGAAGCTGTAAAATACAATTTCATTCAATTCTGCAAAATATAATTTTAAGAAAATCAAAAATTCATTCTCTGGAAGAAATTTTTCTATATCTTTTTAAATCTTTCTACCTTTGTGGTTCAATCCGTTCACCATTCAAATAAGTTCCATTCACTGAGGCTAAATCAATAATATATGGTTTGATACGTTTAACAACCGTGCCATCTGATCGCTCATCAGAAACAAGCCGATATTGAAGCACTGCATGCTGTTTTGAACAACTAGGATGATCAACAGGCAAATCAGCAATTTTACGGTCTCTTCCAATCAAATAAGCAGATTGCCGATGAACATATAATACTGGTAACGCTTCATCACCCTACAAATAATGATAGTTACTATTATTATAATGGATAAATCAAGAGATAATAAAATCAAGAAGACAATAAATTATTAGCAGACTATTATCATTGTCGACTGAAAAATAGAACAAAAAAAAAATCTTATAAATGATGATTAACCTTAAAAGGGTAAAGCCGCCAACGAATTTTCGATTTACGAGCGTCTGGTGGTTCATTATATTTAATAACAACTCCCTTGTACATATTTGTATCTTCAAGCAGTTTTCCACTAGGGACGAAATTCGGTTTTTCTTTCTCAATGGGAGCCTTTTCCACAGTTCCGCTATTCTCCCATAACTCTTTTTTACCCCATTTGATTTCGCTAAAAATGAAATTTTTTTTTGTAATTTCACAATTTCTTTCAATAAATATTTCATACTGTATGGTATTAAATTTCGCTTGAAGAAAATAAACACTAAAAAAAATAAAATAAAATAATTTTCCAACAAATGAACCTTATAATTAAATAAAAAGAACCTTCTGTTCCTGAATTCATCGCTCACGGGTTCTTTTTTGAAATCTGCAATTATTTAATAAAAAAATTGTGCGGAATTATACTTTATGAAAGTTCGAAGACTTAATAATTTTGGTTCATTTATTGCGATAACTTATGATAAATTTTTAGTTGGCACTTCACGACAGATAAATAATAGGTATAATTCAAGTGAAAAATGAAGCAAATTTGCGTTCTCTAATAAGATAAAAGAAAATTTCGCAAAAAAAAGACTAACTTTTCCGCAAACCAAATTGACTCGATGAAGCTGAAGAATCATGTTTATCTTTTGAACGAGATGCATTAGATTTATATTTTTCACCACGATACGTGTTTTTCTCCAAACGATAAGATTCTTTTTTGTCTTTTCGAAAATCAGAATATTTGTCGGCACAATTCTTCTTTCGTACTGAGCCACTATCGTCGTCATCATCACCATCATCGAAATCGTGATACCTTTTATTTTCAATATCGTCATTTCGTTGCCCATATATTTTTCTTTCTCTCCTACTGCCTGAATATCTTTCGCGGCGTATATTAGATGAATTTTTATGTGGTATCAAATCCTCTTCGCTATTCGATCGACTTCTTGGTGAATATGATCGATCTCTCTGCTTCATTACGCGTTTTTCGCTATCTAAATTTAAAAAAACAAAATTTAGAAAAATTAATAAAACCATAAAAATACCAGGAATTCAAGAAACAGCCCAAAGTTTCGCTTAGTGTTTGACCTGAAATAGCTTTCAATGGACTTCAAAACTACAGGAAATAATATACATAATACTACAGGAAATAATATTTTGATATACATGATTAATATATAAAATATATAAATATATTAATATATTACAATATATAATATATTAATATATTACAATATATAAAAAGTTAGACAATGTACTCATACAAACAAAAATAAAATGTACTATTGGCAGAGAAAGCCAAAAGATACAATTCTATTTGATTTACATAATAAAAGACTGGTGGTTTCGCAAGGTGAAATTCAATTTTCTTTAATGACGCAACACTTCCGGATGATGATGGCGACTCACTTATATTTCTATTGCCAAGGGACTCCCTGGCATATTACCCAATGCCACAAGCCAATGGAGTAACCAGTAATGGTGAGGACTCTTTAAAAAAAAAAGTGACGCAACATTAGCCCAGTTGAAACCCAATTTAAGAGATAAAAGGGTCGAAGGGTAATTTTAATAACTTAAAAAAAATGCCATACCGATGGATGATTTTAATTTTTTATGACTTTTCTTTCGTCGAATTTTAACATCATCGACATCGCTACTATAATGATTAGCATGTTTACGTTTGTCCTTTTTCATTAGCTAAAATTTAATAATTTTATAATTTTACATATTTAATGGCATTCCATCAAATAATTATGTCAAGCTTTCTGCTTTCCTTTTACTTCAGCAAAAATGTTAAAATGGTAATAATTTTCGAAATACAAAATCTTATATTTTTACGACCTTTATATTAATGAGAATTACGAATCATTCGAAACAAGCACAAGCAAGCACTTAACCCAGTGCGATCCCAGTGCCTAAGTGTTTTTCCAGACCAAAACCGTGAATAAACAATATATGAAAAATATATAACAATATACTTCATCGAAATGGTTAGTTCACTTTATGGAACTCGATGAATTTAAGGGAGAAAAGGGTCATTTATAATAATCACCTAACATCAAAGGATCAGCGTACTGGGTGAGAAGCGAGACTCTAGCCCACTGAAAATTAGGGACGCTGGTGACGATCCACTTACATTTTAGTACCAGTCACTCCTCTGGCAAAGAATGTGCAGTCGTACCAATACCCAACAATACTCTTTGGTGACTACTGACCACAGTTTTCCCACACACCAACAACAATTATTAAAATTCCTCTAAAGACAATCGGAAATATACTTTCTTTTCAAGACCTAACATTTGAAATATACAAATAATAATTAAATCCGAATATTACAGCTCAATATTATTGCATTGCAGTAGCCAAAGAAAGCAGATTGATATTATGTGAATATATTTTGTGAATTTTGTTTCAGCAACTGAGAAAAAAAATGTTGTTAAGTATAAATTATAAAGTAATTTGCACGAATATTAAAAAATTGAAGTTGAAAAAAATTGTCAAAATCCGCATGGAAATTATTAATATTATATTCTATCATAATGAATAATGTTATATAAAATATTATATAAAAATTATGTAATAGAAAGCTATCAATTTAAAAATTATAATTTGGCCTTTGAATTTTAATTGACCCTTGCTGGTGAAATTTTTATTTACCAAAATTTAAAATGCACTATGAAATATCGCATTTATTGCTGGTTAGACTGGCTCTGCTGGATTGTGGAACCAAATATAGCCGAGGTTAGCCATTTGGTGATAGAAGCACAGGTGATCCCCAGCATCGCTCGGATTTTCGAAGGACTTTCGGAAAAGAGAACGATCCACTAAACCATTTTTCGCCGTTCAGTGACACTGTAGCCCGAGGAAGTGTGGTGCGTTGGCCAGATCGGAACCATTGACAATCTGAGCCATCGACGTATCCCTTCTCGGCCTATTGGCTTAAATAAATCAAATTGAAGGATCATTTAAAAAAATGAATGAATAATTCTTTTCACTCGCAATAATTATATAGCCGTCATTCGCTCGATCTTGCTATATGGCTCTGATACGTGGCCAATGAGAGTGGAGGATATTAAGAAGCTATCAACCTTTGACCACTCTTGTCTAAGGTACATTTTACCGGTCCGTCGAGCGGATAAAATATTAAATGTTACGTGATCGCATCCATTTTCGTTCAAATACCATTTGCATAAATAATATTATCACAGAGCGTCGCCTTGGCTGGTTAGAGCATATTCTTCGTCGACCACTACAAAAATTGTCGCATATTTCGTTATTTGCTAAACCATGTGATGGATGGAGTGGTGGGTCCATCAAGACCTGGATTGATACGGTCAGGAAAAATTTTGAACGTATAGGTGGACCGGCAATATATGGACTTAGACAATGGAAAAAGGAATGGCTTCTGTCGACAATGGCAACAGACTGCGCCACTTGGGACTGCGACTTACACTTGTAGCCGTTGGAGCCAGCCTAACCAGTGATGATAAGAGCTGTTAGAAGAAGAAGAAAAGTTATGAATTCCGTCAGTCATATGGATTTCACTCTGGATGACAGGTTCACCCTTACCAATGATCTAGAATCTTACTCATACTTCCTCACTTTTCCGTTCTATTCTAATTCTAATCACCACTTTTTCTTTTTTGAATCATTTAAAAAATTCAAATCCCTCATTAACTGGTATAGATTCCTTGGGATCCATGGTGACTCTCAAAGGGAACGTGGGAGTTTAATTCAAATTATAAATTCTTATTTTGTTTACATGGTAGCAAATCATTTCAAATAAATATTTTATGCATTTTATTATATTAAATGAAAACTCTTAGGTGAAAAATTCAATAAATATTTAATGTTGCATTTGGGGATCCGTTAGCTCCCATAGCGTCGTCCAGTGGGTTCATGGGAAAAAATTGAACGATTGGTTTAGAATATCATGAATCAAGTCAAATGTTCGATCATCCGATGATCTGATAGGTCACCGGGTCAAATTACATCCAAAATTCATGGAACCATTCATCGCTCATTATCATTGTTGCTCAAAGCAAATTTGCGAAAACATCATTATCATTATCGTCGTCGATATCAACGGTGGCAATAGTGATAGCGAATCTATAAAATGCTTTATTTGTCGGTTGTCAGTTGTGTCTTTTATATCTCTTGCATGCTCTTTTCCATGGAATTTCTCTTATTTCGATTTTTCTGGATTTTTTCTTTTTCATAAAAATTTATTTTTAATTATTTAAGCAATAAAATTTTCAAATCCAATTTTAATGAATTATTTCCTAAAAAAAATTTTTTAATTGATTTTCTATTGATTTTACAATAAAAAAATTTTGCTTTACATTTGGCCCTTTTTTGAAAAAAAAGTCAACTTTTTTTTATTTAATTATTGCAAATCGTTTTATTACAATAATAATTCAAATATAATTTAAATATTTTTTTTGCTAAATTATAATAAAAAAATTTTTCGACGATGAAAAAGATTTTTTAATAATAAAATTTACTGAAAATAATGAAAACTGATTTTTTTGGCGAATTTTTATTTAACAATGCGGGGTTTTATCATTTAATCCGTTTATACTTTTTCCAGAAAATTTTCAGACTTATCGAGAAAAACGAGGAGGAAATTCATGTAAAATTATTATTTATTTCGTTATAGCAAATGGCTTCAGCGAGATTTTACGAAATTTCAACGAGGTTTTCCTTTTGTTCTTTTGTTTTTGTATGGTTTAAAAGTTAAATTTTCCAAGTTTATTTCGTTTTTGAGATTTTCGACGCCATTTGTCTTTGAACCAACCACGTTTGTTTTTTTAAAACGATGATATGGCCGCAAACGACAAACTTGCAAAAATTACTGAACTCTACTTTTCTGAATCAAATTATTGGTGGGCAAAGGCCGCGTGCCATGCGTGGCCCCCGGAAAAATTTTCTACGGCCCTCGCAACTTTTATTAATAAAACATTGGCTTATCAGTAATTTTATTGAGGCTCCGCGAAAATGCAGATTCGCGTTGTCATCGTGGATATATTAGCAAATATTAGTAAATGTGAATTTTCTGCACCGCTGCGAATTATGCAATGTGAAGTAGGCTCGAACCCCATTCTAATCCATTTTAAAAAAGTATGAATAAAATTTTGGTTTTTATTCTACCGGCGTTCAGTAAAATTGCTAATCACTATACTAAATCATTCATTAAACTAATAATTTATAATTTTCAGCGGATTGAATTTCGATCGATTCGTGGAACATTTTGACGATTCGACAATAACGAAAGTCCGTAAACAATATTGGACAACGAAACAATTTATTCGCAAAAAATTAGGCAAAAAAGTTAATATTTTCTTTCGAAAGAGTCGTCTTGATTATGATTATTTATTTTTTTGATTTTCGATCGTTTTTAATTTAATTTCATTTCAAAATTCGCGAAGGTATAGTGAGCGGCGAAATAAGCCTTGGAATTGCATCTGCGATGAGGCTGTAAGGAGACCTTCAGCAGACTTTCGTATAGGCCTGGTGATGGCTGTGGAGGGAAGCAGTGATGAGGCTGTAGGCTTCAGCAGACTTTCGTATAGGCCTGGTGATGGCTGTGATGAATAGTATCTTTTTTTTTCAGCATATAGCATACTGGAAGGGATTAAACCGTAAAATTTTATAATGTAAGGTTTCCATCAAAATAATAATTTTAAGTAAAAGTTAAAAAAGTTTAATAAAAGTCGCTTCGATTTTCTTATCTTTTTCCATTTCTATAGATAGATAGATAGATCAGACTAGTTAAGCAATATATTCGAAAAGTTTGTCAATGTTGAATTTTATAGGAAGATGAATATTTGCTTGCGTCAGACGCCGAATTTGACGCAAAAATTAGTATATTTCGTTCACTGCGTGAAACATCCGAACAAATGTTATTTTGTGTCGATGATTATCAGCATTATTTAACAGGTTATTATTTATAACATTTCTACACAGTTAAAATCATTTTCTAGAAGGGTTTTAAGAAGAAATTGAATTAGGCTGTGAAAAATTTAGTGTGAAATGAGCTAAAAGAAGTATTTTCTCGTTGCGATAATTTCGTAATTTCGTAATTTTCCAAGGAAATTTAAGAAAATTTGCAGAATTGGTTCAGTCGGAAATTGCACTCGGAAAAATGTTAAAAAATGATGGAGAAGAAGATAAAACGGAAGCAGGTAAAGTAATGTGTGTTGTTGGTCGAGTTATATCACTTTCTGCTCATAATCGGTTAGTTTGAAATTTGCACCCATTTAACGCTTTCTTTATCGGGGTGTTAAAAATCTCATTGTCCAAAACGGGACCTCCAAATAAAGCATCATATATTCGATTTCTATTCTCGAAACTTGTTAAGTGCCCTGCGTTGTGGCCGTGGCGACAGAGGTTCGATTGCTCTCTTGGACATCCGTTTTCTAAATTTTTACCAAATCTTAATGTCTCGGTAGTAGAGGAAAATTAATAGCCATAGCTTGGTAGTTTGGTACTCCTTCTCTTACTGCGGTATTAAGCTTAGGGCTTAGGCTTTCTATATAATAATTTGCTTATATTGTTTTGTCTGTCGTTTATTTTTTTTTGTGCCATCCGTACTAGTTGACTTTTTTTTTATTAATTCTCGAATATTAAGATAGATTTTCGATTTAAATTATTAAATATTTGGATTTGTCGCTTATTGTTGTGTATTATATCACATAACAATAAAGTAACTCCATCAATTGAAAAATTTAATATTATTTTTTTTTCTTATTTTTTATTTCATTTTTATCATCTTTTTATCAAAAATTTCCGATAAAAATCTGTGGATTATTTTTTTCTTTTATTAATCATTATTGATGTTTAATGCAGTTGGAAAATTTAAATATAAAAATTTTAAACAAATTTTTAAAAATTGAAATACTTTTTTTTAAAATTTCAATTATCTTCAAAGAGGTAATTAATTAATTATGCAAAATTTATCTTAAATTGTCGAATCATTTCAAAAAAATTAATACTCTATATTAACACTGTAGTACATTTTCTACAAAGTTTCGCTATGGTGCATTCGAAAAATAATAATTTAGGTTATTTATGCGAAGCCCATTATTACGTTTTCTAAGTGAACTTCAAGTTTTTATCGAACGTGCAATTTTGGATTGTGCAGCGACTGTTGAGGCGGCAGAAAAAGCGCGCACCGAATATCGAGGGTCGCTACTTTGGTTGAAAAAAATTAGCAACGAAGTAATACTTTTTTGTGCCTCTATCTCTAGTTAGGCTTATCTCACTGGTTTGTCAGATCGAATAAATTTTTTCAGGGTATTACCTGACGGCAATAAAATTTTGAAGATAGATTCACACCTACTGAGTCTGGAACTCCTGCATTATGCCACTAAGTTATTGTCCCAATTTTTTTCGGGCAAATGTTTGTTATAAATATTTCGTGTTATAATGTTGTATTTATATGTTTGTAGGTTGACCCTGATGCTGGAATCGCATTGGAAAAGTTTCGTATTGCACAGAGCGTTGTTCGAAAGAATAAGGAAAAATTGGATGGATTAAAGTTGGACACCTTACAGAAGGTTGATTTGTTGGCTGCTAGCAGATGTAATTTATTTTCTCAGGTATATAAATGCGTTAACTTTCGCTTTTTTTATTTTAAACTAATCGAGATTTGTTTTTCTGCATTTTGTTGATTTATTTAATAATTTAAAACGATTACCCGAGAAATTTTCTCATCTTGTTATATTATTTTGTAGCTGCTGGAAACATATCAGAAATTTTTATATCGTTTTTATGAACAGACAACAGCAGCATATAGCAAAATTTATGGTCTTGTAAGCGGTCACAAGCATTATCGCTTTGAAGTGCTAAAGGTAAGGTTTAATTTTTTTTGCTGATTTTTTCTTTTAATATTTCAGACCATTTTTTAGCTCGCTTCATCGAGTATTTTAAGCCCTTTTCGACCGACAATCACTTGGAGATAGGTGTGAAAATGGGCTCGAAGCACCATCTTTAGATTTTCTGTACATCTTATATTTGTTATTCATCTTATTTTACATCTTATTTTTACATCTTATTTTGCGGTTATTTTTTTTTAGCTATTTCTTGAGCTATTTTTATGAGATTACATTCCAAATGTGCTTGAAAAAAAGCGAATTTTATTTCAAGAAACTTTTAAGATTTCAAGAATTAATTTCAAGAAAAGAAACCTGGAAAGAAACGTGATTTTACTGAATTAATTTTTTGCTCTACTATTTTGTCGAAATAAATACTTCATTCAAATTTAAAAAGTAGGAAATAAATAATTTTTTATTTTTTACAGGATTTGCAAGCAATATATAGGTAAATTGCCATTAAATTTAAATTACAGGAGCTTATGGATCCAGTTTTGGATTCAGAAGACAATCAGAAATTGAAAGAAGATGCGGTGAATTCGAATTCCGAAAAGTCGGTCATTTTGATTCATTTATTCAAATTAAGTCCGCTGTTTTTTATTGTTTTCAAAAATAAAATGTAATGTTATAGTCGACAAAACAGGAAAATTGAAAAAAAAGTTGAAGTTTGTTTTTATCTTAACATTTTTTCGTACTTTCATTTTAATAAGTTGCAGTCTTATCAGTATCGACACCAAAGAAAATGAAATCGATAGCATTTTATTAGGCTTAGAAGCAATGGAAATGGAAATAGAAACATTTGATCAAAGGCTTGAGAGTCCTCTGGGACAGGCACCAGATAATAATTTATTAAATAGTTCCCCGATTGAAGATAAACCGATTGTTGGTCCTTTACCAATAAAGGAATTGGATGCGAAGGAAATACCGAAGATAATACCTCCACCAGGTTGGAAAGCTAATAGAACAGGTAATTTTAGAAATCTTATCGAACATTAACGACCTTTCTTCTTGGAAATTTTGAAATTTAGTAGATTCAGTGAAAATAAATTTAAAGAAATATTGAAATAGGAAGTACACCAACATAGTTATTTTTGTTCAATGCATTTTGATGAATGAATATTACGAAACTTAATTGGAAATAACTATGTTGGTTCAATGTATTTGGTATTAGTACTTGCAAAATTTTCTTGAAGTAATGAACATAATAAACATAAAAAGACTAGTAACAGTAGAAAAGAAAATAATTAAAATAATATTTCAGAGACAAATTATACAAATGATTTAATGGAACTGTTATCTTTCAACAATCCAGCACAATCAGAACTTGATTCATTCGCATTGGAATGGTCAAAAATCGCAACACCTACTACAATAAATAATAGTAATACACATACATCTTCATTAAATATGGGAAATTTACCTTCACAGTTACTTGATACGCAGAATTTTCAATCGCAGAATTTTCCTAATCCGTTCACAGATTCAAATTTTAGTGTTAGTTTCTATTATTCTTTATTTTCGCTATTTTCATATGAATTAAATCCTTTTTATATTTTTTATGTTAATAATAAAACAAAAATTGTTGTAGGCTTGGAATGGTTTGATATTAGAATTCGAATCATCGGAAAATAATTCTGGAAGAATTTGTTAATTTTTTTTGCCATTTATCATTGTCAGCGGATAATTTAAATCAAATTTTCTTTATGGATAGTTCAGATCGAATACTCTTTAGTCGAAAATTTATCATCGAAAATTTTAATATCTTAGAACATTTCATTTCATTTATATTACGCGAATCATTTATAAGAAATACTAATAGATTGATAAAAAATAATGTGGACTTTCAAATTAATTTATCAAAAAGAAATTTTTGTAATTTTTTCTTTAAATTTTTGCTAATTTTTATTTTGTTTCCCTTCATTTAATATTTATGATTGCAATTTTATGTAATCTCGTCAGTCTAATTGGTGGAAAATAGAGGAGATTCTAGAAAATAAAATTTGAAAATAAAATTGCAACCATAATTTCTTCTTCTTTAGTGATTGCAGAGGAATATTTATTCTTTTCAGCGTAATGCACTATTGAGGATAAATGAAATAAAGGATTATAAATATAGAATTCATCAAAAAACTTTTTTTTAAAAGAATGTAGAAAGGAATAATGTCATAAAGAATTTAAATTAATAACCATGAGTCGCAAATATTTCTCAACGGACCGGTCGAACCAGTTTTGCCAAAGAAAACTTGGTAGATATTTTTTTCTGCTTGTTGGTTTATTTAGAAAACAAATTATATTATCAGCAAAAAATTATTATTGGCAAAAAAGGAATTTCAGCTGATGTTTGGTCTCTTTATTTCCTAGTATTGTTATTAGTATTGTTTGGGTTTCCAGGATGGGGATTTCATTAATAATGGTGACTCGTCCTCGTCAGAAGCCATTTTTGCTTTGAGATGGTTCACTGGCTATATAAGCATTCCAGATCATTGCGATAATGTATTTGTATCAAATTGATAATTTTTGACGAACCCACTTCAGAACCAGAATTGTTAATTAATAGAATAACTGGGAATAATAGAATATTTTCAGAATAAAAGGATCGTTCGACAGAAAATTTATAAAACTATTTTTAATTTTAGTTTTAATACAGACAGCATTCGCCTGCAAAATTTAACTCTCAAAATTTTTCTTCCCAGTTATTTTGTTATTGATAATATTGGTAAACATCACGCTTATCAATAGTGATAATAGTAATGAATTGATTTTCCAAAATTGAAATTAGTATGACATAAAATTTTACTGAAAGATTTATACATAAATAAAACATCGCAGTTCAGTTTGGTATACAATAGAAACACCATCAGAGAACCATAAACGATTAGTATGAGATGCTACGAGTTTAACCAGCCGCGAGAGATTCTTCCTTGACCTATTTATAGCAATCAAAATTTTTGATGACCTTGTAAATGAACAAATTTATACGAGGAATTTTGATTGAAATCTAAAACTTATTAATGGAATATGAAATGAGTGGGAAGCGAACATTCAAAGGTCGCGAGGATCTCCGAACAATATTCCGGTTGTGGGCGATTAGTTCAACTGCAGGTCAATTGTTCAAAGACCAACAGATCGAACCATAGTTCCAAATTTATCAACAAAGCGATGCATCACTAGCAATATTTCGTTCATAAATGTCTTCTCTTATAGTTCGAATCGTTCGATCACAACGCAAATGACCCGATTTTGACCTTTAATGTATTTTTTTAATTTTCCGCCGGAATAAACCGGAAAATTTCAAGTTTCCTTTTTTACGAAATTGAAAAATATGAGAAAAGAGTTTATGTGATTTGTTTTGAAGAGAACTCTTAAACGTTTTCGTTTAGAATTTTTATGGAATTTCAAGAATTTTATTTACAAAAGAATCGATTTTCGTTTGACCTCTGACCCCATTTCCGCTTTCCAAATGTATTTTATATTTTATTGAATTTTTATATTTCGACAAATGATTGGTATTATAATTGAAAATGTTGGAGGATGGTGATCGCTGTGATGTTGAACAACAGCTGATGTTCATCGGTAAGTGTGGCAAATTTATTATTGCAAAGCAGAACGAAGCAGTCGTCCTCCCTCTTTGCGTCTTTCCCATCCGTCCGCTCGTCCATCTGTCCACTCGTCCGCTCATCTTGCGAATTTGTCCACCCCTTCGGTTAACCTGTCTCTCCATTCTCTCGAGAGTATCATAACTGATGCGTAATGCTATTCTCAGGTGGAAGTGCTGTTAAAACTAAAAAAGATGAGAAAAAAGAGAAAAAAACCGAGAAAGGTTCGTTGCAATATTGTAAAATTTTCTTTCATTTGACCTTTTTTGACCTTTCTCGTCGAACAACTTTTTTACGATATTATTAATGAATTGAATCAATTAATTGTTGATTATTCACCAAAAATATCCAAAGAAATAGGTTCACCAATGAGAAAAAGAAGTTAATCGGATGAGACGCTGCTTGACGCTTCCAAATTTCCCTTCTTTATTTCTTTCCTTTGCGTTAATTTATGGTTGCATTCAGCACTAAGATGAGAGAGAGACGCCGGAGAGTCGGCGTTTGATATTGGAAGCGTCCTTATCAGCATTATCAACGATTGTTGCTTGCCAACCTCTCGCATGTTACTGTTAGCCGAATTAGGAGTGCAATCGTGGTACTTGAAATGAAAACCCAGTTTCGAATTCTCTTTACTTTTACAACTATAGTAATGCGTGGTAATTCTGGTATTCTCTTTTGAAATATTACAGATGAGCGTAATGAAATGCAAGAAGGCATGTTTATTCGTTGGGCGAATGCGATTTTACCCGATTCGGCGGTGAAAGAACTTTCAGACATTGTTGAAGGAAAATTCCTTGCGGATTTCGTTAATTTGATCACGTCGAAATCTATTGTAAATTTTTTCCCCCTTTAATTTTATTTAACTTTCAAAACTTTATCAAATTCACCGTAGCAAAAACGTCTAAACTACCCGTTTTCTTCTCACAAAAACTTATGAAGTACACTTATACTTTCACGTGCCTCACGTAAAGCTAAATCTTTCCCAGTCACGCCGAGATTTAGATGGAATTCTGGCAGCGGAAAATCGGGTACGGAAAGCTGTTAGAATACAATACACGCTTCTCGTGCATTTTTTGCGATGGCTTATATATATATCGAATTTATTTTTGAAAAATGATTAAAATGACTAAAATGAAAATGATTTTAAAGTAGCATTAAAATAGTGAAATAAGTATGTTCACCTTAAATATCACAAATACCGAATAATACCGGAGAATAGCCGAAATATCCTATAATTCTTCAACGTTCGTTTCACGTTATACTTTAGAATGTCACCGGATCTCGAGCTCAAGATATAGCAAATGCTTTGCAAGAGATTGATAACGAAGAACGCTTCTCACAGATAAATGTTAATGAACTTGTTGAAAAAAATAGTCGAGCCTTATGTCTTCTTTGTTGGCAGTTTGTTCAAATCTTTTGGAAAAGGTTGATTTTGAATTATCTAACAGTAGAAATCATCAAAAGATACAATTTCTGGTTTTTGAAGTGAAAACTCTGAAGCATATTTTTTGTTGAGAGAGTGTCCACCATTTCCGCTGGCTCGGACCAGACGAATTTTTCTAGGAATCAGTCAGTGAACCAGGGAGGGTTATCCTATTCAATGGGTAATTATCTGATTTACAGATTTGCGCCGGAAGCCGACCGTGATCGAAAACTTATTGAAGTAATAAAAGGATGGTGTGATGAGCGCTTAAAGGGATTCGATGAGATTCAAATAAACGATTTTACATCGTCATGGAGAGATGGTTACGCAATAAATGCTTTAATCTTATCATACGATAATAAATTATTCAATATGGACGATGTACGCAATATGCGTCGTGATGAACGAATTGAACACGCTATGGATATCGCTTATCATTTTTTAAATGTTCCTCATATAATTAATCCGAAGGATTTCCGTAGTGAATATTTGGATACGAAAAATGTTGTTTGTTATCTTATGATGTTGTATTTGGCGATATGTGCACGTTCACCAGCTGTCGATGAGCGCAAATTACAGCTGAATTTAAAGAAACTGGAAATGCCAGCTGTATCTTCTGCCTCTCTCGCATCTTCACCGCAAACACCACAAATGCAGCCAAATTTTCTTATAATTGATCCAGTGGACGCGAAACCAGCAGAATGTGAACATCCGCAAATGTCTTCAATATCAGAAGAAAGTCAGCCAGTAAATATTTCGAACAAAGTGAAAATGACAACAACTCCTGAACGTCAGCCATCTCCTCGAAGGTCGGAGCATCGTCTTGCAGCTACCGGTTCACATTCTATCGAAAAGGACGAGCATTTTTCTCGTCAGTCTTCAGCTTCAAGTCAGAGATCAAGAAAAAGTCGAAAATCGCTGGATGAAATTGTTAGTGAATATCAACTGTGCTTAGAACAAGTGATGGCGTGGTTACGTGAAGCTGAAGAACAAACAAATTCTTTGGGATCTATCGAGCAAGAAGATGTCGAAGTCGTAAAAGCACAATTCAAAGAACACGAACAGTTCATGCAATCGTTAACTGAAAGCCAAGACAGCGTTGGTCGTGTTTTACATCGAGGAAACGTAATATGTCAAAAGCTTGACGATGAGCAAAATATGTCTTTGCTGTCGCAGCTAAAACTGGTTAATGCAAAATGGGAACGAGTTCGTGAAATCGCAATGAATCGACAAAATCTTCTTTTAGAAAAATTAAATTCCCTACAAATCCAACAATTGGAAGGAATAAAAAATTGGATGAATGCAATGGAAGAAGAAATTCGACGTTCTCGTTCAATATCACTCGATGTGGACGAAATTGAAACATTGATAAAGGAACATAAAATTATTCGGGAAAAAATCGAAAATGAACAAAAAATTGTTCAAAAATTATCGACATTTTTAGCAGTTGTCGATGAAACCGAAACACCATTTCCGTACGACGAAATTGAAAAAGTCTTAAATTCGATAGGTGAACGTTGGATGGCAATTTGTGAGTGGGCTGAAAATCGTGCACGTAAACTGGACGATTTACCACAATTAATTCAAAATTACTTAAAAACATATAAAAATCTCTCCGAATGGCTTAATATTCGAGAAAATGAAATGGCTAAATTACGACCAGTTTCTGAACTAAAAAATGAAATAGAAATTTTTGAACAAGTTGAATGCCTTCAAAATCTTGAATCAGCATTGGAAGCGGGTCATGAAGATTTTATTTCCTTGTCTCAGTTAGCAACCGAGATTCTTAGTAAATTCGACGATACTAGTGAAAATAATTCTGCAAAATTGGTGCGTGAACAAATTGATGAAATAACACAACGTTGGGATACAATTGTATCAAATATTGATAAATATTCATGCATGTTAGTAAAAAGTGGAAAAGCTGATGCGAAACGCCCCGATAAGGCAAACAGCGATGAAGAAGACTCGAGTATCTGCACTACTAATAAAATAACCGCCGAAGAATCTGAGCCTAACGATATAGTTGAAATGATCAAGCCTTCAACTGTACAATTCACGTCTTTCGAGCAAGTTGGTTCAGTTATAAACCAAGAAAACTGTAGTGATGAAAAGAATTCTGCGAAAAATTTATCTCCGGTTGATATTTTTATCAGTAATTTGCAGCGAGTTAGCGATGATTTACAACCGCTTGTTGACTGGGCATATACATTTGATATTCGAAACTATTCGGATGATGTAAGAAATATCATAGAACATTGCCAAAATCAGTTACGCGAAATAAAAAACCAAGAAAGTCGTGTTAATGAGTTGCATGCCGAACTCGATCGTCTACATAATTTGGATATTGACTCGAAGCAATTACATTTTGCAAACGAGAAATTCGAAAAATTTACGAAGAAGTGGTCGATTGTCGTAACGAAAATATCCGATACGCTTAATTCGTTATCAGCTCGTGAATCGTTTATCAATTCGAGAGACTTAAACGATGAAAATGATCGAATTTTAGTTGAACTTCAAAATTTCTTCGATACTGCAAATACAATTGTAATAAATTGTGCACAAATATCAGTCAATGAACGTGAAGTACGTTTAAGAAAATTAAACGAGCAAATTCTTGCACAAAATAAGAATATCGCATTTCTTGAAGCCAATCATTTGGATAAAACAAAAGTTGAAATGTTAAAGAATCGTTTTACTGAATTAAAAGAATCTATGTTAGCACTTCAAGAAGGCACATCGTTAATGATCCGACTGGAAGATTATTTGCAACGAAGTGTACCACCATTCGGTGACATAGAACAGTTGACAGTTGAGTTTGGCTGTGGACAAGAATTACTTGAAATTTTAAAAAAAATAAAATATCGCGAAAATAATATGGAAAAATTAGAAATTCTTAGTGTTGGTAAACATAATACAATAAAAGAATTACTTAATCGTACGAAACGTTGGAACGAGAAAGGCGCAGTCGTTCAAGGAATATTAAATGAATTTACAGAGCGCTTTCGCTCGCTTAAAAAAGATCCAACTGATTTACCTGAACTTTTAAGACTTTTTCGAAAGCTTCGCAGTGATTATGAGAATAGCCGTACGATTCAAAAGGATTATGGTGATTTAGCTGACGAAACGTTATCATATATCTCTTGCAACAATATACCGAATCGTGATAAGGCACTAAACGATGTAAAAAATGCGATAGTTTCAAGCAATAATACATGGAAAGAATTTGAGGAAGAAATTGATGAAAATATAAATATTCTCGAAAAAGAACATAAAAAATTACAGCAAAAGGCGATACGTAACTTTCGGCAACACCTTGATGATTTAAAGGCAGCAATTAGTGCAAGTTACGAAGCGACCGACGCTGAAGAATTTAGTGAGCATCTTGATGTAAGTCTTTTTATTCTTAGTTTTCTTTATGGCATTGCATATCCCCACTTATGGTACTCATTTCAAGAAAGTAATCCCTTTATGTTAATTTCAAATAAAATAAAATTCAGCCAACCATTTGGCTAATTTTTGGCGCAGAAAATTGCATTCGAATACAGTTTAATTTAAATTAATCTCATTTGACTCGCAAATTTTCATTTTCTAAATTTTCAAAATTTTTTATGTTTGCTGCTGATTTTTTCCATTAAGCATTTCCATAAAAATTGTTCAATAAAATGTTCTTGAATTAGAATTTGGAACGATTGTATGATGCGATAGTTAACGAAAACAGCAAAATTGGCGATGAGTGCCAACTGATGGATGAAGTTTTCATAAAACAGGTCGTTCTTTTAATATTTGGGTCCGCTGGCCATATGGTTGATTAATTTTTTTTGAATTCCACTTATTCCACTTATAAGTGTAAAGCGTATAGATCCAGCTGCAAAACAGAGGAATGCTATATGAGCCAGTGAATGCCATTAGCCATTTCGACTTTTGAAGACACTTTATTCATTCTTCAAGCGGTATATTCATTCTTAAATTTATCGTAGCTGCTAGTAATTTGCATTTCTCACATTTCGTCTTATGTTTAAACGGCAATCAATTTTTTTAGTTCAACGAATTAAAGGACGATTACGAAAGTATTTCTCAGAATGCGAAGGAACGGATTGATCTGCTTGAAACAGCAGTTAAAGGTTGTGAACAATTTGATACATCGCTGGCGGAATGTCAAGCGTGGTGTAATCATGTGAATCAAATCTTGTCATGTCGAGCATCTAATGATATCAATGCACTCGATGTTCCACATGAATACAAGGTATATCAGTTTTTATCGAGTTTTTCATCGACTTTATATTGCTATTTTTCCTTGTCGTCCATTTCGCGTCAAATTGAATGCTTTATGTCATTTCACCAATGCATTTTGTTTCCAAACACTGCAAAATGTAGCCTTAGGGTCGAACAGCTTTTCTTTCATTTCATTTGGAACTCATCTGAAATTCTTTGCAAAGCAAATTTATTTAAAAAAATTAGTTTTTCGATATGGTTTTTTATTGCAAGTATTCCTGTTCACTTAAATATATTTAATCTACTTAGCGAATAAATTTGTCATCGAAAAAATGAAAGCACATTTGTCCTTGTCTTTTGTCCTCATTTCGTGGAATTTCAACAATTTTTTTAAGGTTTATTTCTTCTTTTTTGATTTATTTTTACATTCATATTTTTTCCTAGTTTTGTTGCAAATATTCCTATAATTGTTCGTTTATCCATTTTCATTCATCTTAAGCTTAATCATCACGCACTATGTTTTGCCTTTTTGTTTCAGAATGCATTTGCTGAGCGAAGATTGATTTCGGTAAGTTATCAACTTCTTTCTTCTTTTTTTTGCATGCACTACTCAAACGAAACGAGACGCCAACTACTTATCGGAATAAATCTAAATTTTATATCCATTCCTTACTCTTCTGATAAGGCATAAAATAATTTTTCCATCAAAAATCTTAATTTCAGCTTCTTCAAAGCGAATTCGACGAATGTGATGGATGTCTGAAAAATTTGCGCAATTTTATCAATAAAGATACGGCGAATTGGAGTTCACCTAATCGCTTACAACTTCAACTCGACCATCTATCTGTAAGATTTTTTGAACTAATTTTTACCTTGTATGAGTTGAAATATCCAATATCAAGAAGTAGAACGAAGTTTAAATACCGTAGAATTCCCTTTATGAAATAAAATATTTGCGATAACTGAAAATTTTTTTTAGAATCAGTTCGATGAATTGTTGGCGAAATTTATGGAATTTAAGCAACCGATTAGACTAGAAGAAAATGCTGAGCGTTTATGTAGAGAAGCAGCTGATTTAGAAAATAATCTCGACGATCTTGTTGATATCGAAGCCGATAATATGATGGAAGCATTGGATCAACTGATGGAAATCGAACGAAGAGAGGCTAAAGTAATGTTTTTAAAGGAGATTTTCGCTTTTCTGAAAAAAAATATTTACTTTTACCACAACTATTAATTTTTGCAGATCGAAACATATCTTCAAGAACTGAAAGAATCACAAAAATTGCTAATTAACGATGGTATATTAATGGAACCAAACGAAGCGGAAATGAATAAAAAACTAGCGGAAATTGCTATGAGACTTACAATTATCGCCGATCGGGTATTTCTTTCGTTTTGAAAATTAATAATCTGAAAAATTCTTAGATTAATCTGCAAAAATTAAATATATTTCCACATTAATTTTTTCTCGTTGTAGCTAATCAACTATTTATAGATATATCAAGCAAGTTTCCATGATTTCAGCGAACTGGTGTCATGAAGAGACTGGAGAAATGTTGTGCACTTTTCGAACAATTGAAAGGTAAATTATCTGAAATCAGCAACAATCTGGCCATTCTTGAGATTAATTATGATAGAAATGAAACAAATCACGAAATTTTGGAAGCTCATGAATATGAACTGAAGAAGTATGGTTTGTTGTATTTTTGCGAAAAAATCTCCTAATATTAGTAGATAGAAATTATTTTTGTTATCCCAAATATTTTAAAAGATATTCATTCTTAATGACGATTTGAATAATTGGCTATTTCAACTGTTAAAAATTTATTTTAGAATTGATGATCTTATTTCGTCGGTTGATGAAATTTGTCAAGAATTACAACATGAATCTATAAAAATAAACGAAATGGAAATTGATGAACAAAAGAAACATTTGAAAATTATCAAAAATAGAATATTGTCTCATATAGGTTCGATGGAAGTTAGTGGATTTATGGACTTTTTAATATGATGCATATTAATGTCTCAAAAAGTATACACTATCAAATGAAAGTGCACGAGGTATTTTTCAGGAAATTGACGACAATCAGGATTCAAATTTGAAGCAATTAGAGAATCTCTATTCAAAACTTTTACATTCGATAAAGGAAATGGAAGACATTGAAGATATTGAGGTTTTGGTGGTTTTTAATTTAAGACCGATGGGGAGTTATAAAAGTCGTCCAGTTATAGGCTAAGTTTTTCCTATTTTTTTTAATTTTAGAATCTCCTTGGTGCATTGGAAAATAATCGGCTGGGAAAGGATACTTTCTGTGAAAAATATAAACGACTTGTAAAGCCAGGCGATCCCCAAGAAACTAAATTTTCTTCAATGATATTTGAGGTTATTTTTTGTTTTTGTTCAGTCTTAATTTTTTGTGATTTTTTGTGATAATACTCATTTATCGAAATTAAGGTTGAAAAACGATGGAATGCACTTGAAAGAAAATGCAAGCAACAGCGAAATCCTCCAAGTCAACCTAAGGTATCACCTCCACCTTTACCTGATATTGTTGTGGGTGGCGATTTTCGAAATCAAGTATGCGCACTACATGACATTTTCAAAATCTCTGAGAGGTATTTAGATTTTGATCGTTATCCAGTGTCATCAACTTCTGAATGGTCCGATCGGATTAAGGTTGTTTTATTTTCTATTCATTTCATTTTTATACTCAAAAATCGGAGAAGTCGAAATCGTTTCTTCGATATTATAAAATATATGCTGTTACAAATGGGTGTGTACCATCAACTAACTGCATTGCTTCGTTAACCAGTTAACTTCTCTTAACTTCTTCATTTGTTTTAATTAGCACCTTTGACTTCTATTCGTTAGAGAAATATTAAAAGCGAGTGTGCTTCCAGCAAAACTCGGATGATTAATTTATTCATCCAATTTCTTCAGGAAAAAGGATTCTTGACATTAGTCGAGGTAATATATTAATCGGCCATCCTAACTCCACCTGGTTAACAAATGTCTTCAAAGGATATATAAATAAAATGCTTTTATTATATTAAAATATGACAAAACAGATTTGATAACTTTCTTTAAATGTTGAAGACTGTGGATGATTGGCTTCTTAGCTACAGCGATGTCCTAAAAGAAATCCTTGAAATAGGTCGAAAATTGGCGAGCAATGGCCGTATGGAACTTGATGTTCACGATGCATTAGAGAAGCTCGATAAAGTTGTAGATTTAGCCAATCTGGTCTGTTTTCGCCCACTCTTACCAGTGCATTTCTTTAAAAAAATATTTCCATTTTTTTATTTTTATTATAAAATAATTTTAATTTGACCATTTTCAAATAATCGATTTTTTATTTATTAATTTGATTAATTTTAATTATCATTTACCAGTAAAAAATTTTTTTAAAGGTCGAATCAAAAGTCAAAGCTAATAAGGTTCAGTTAGTTGCCGTCCATGCTAAGACTGAAGCTTTAATTCATGACATTCAAACGATGGATGAAGTGCTTGAGCAGCTTAATGCTCGTGACCTTACCGATCCGACAATTGCAAATGTGAGTACAAAATTCTTTTTTTGCTTCATTTGAATAATTATAAAACGTTTATTTGCGAAAAAAATTTCCCTAATTCTTGCCATTGCCTATTTGCAAATGGAACAAAAAATGGGAAATGCTATTAACAGTTAGAAATTTCAAATTATCAAATTTCAAATTTTAATTAAATTATCCAAATTTCTTAATGATGAATTTTCTAATAAATGAATAAAAATTTTTAAATTTAATTTCTTTTCCTTTATTTTAAAGTTAAATCAATTTTAATTTTTCTCCCACAAAATTTTAAATTTCTTAGAAAGTAATTTTAGAAAGTATTTAAATATTTCATATTTCGTTCATTTATTTTTTAATACTTATAAATAAAGGTTTTTTATTTTTTTTTAAAAATTTTTAAACAGAAAATTTATATTTAGTGTAAATATAAATTTATATTTTAAAATTTTGATACAAAAATATATATAATATATAATATAATATAATATATAATGTAATATAATATAATATAATATGATATAAAATTATAAATTATATGATTTTGTATTTTTTATATTATTTTGTATATATATACATTAAAAAAATAAAAAATTTTTGTTTTCCATTTTTTTTCGTCGTTCACCAGTATTTTAAAAAATTTAACTGAAAAAAAGAACTGATAAATTGATACTGCAACGACCAATGTTCAATTTAATTTTTGCAATATTCAGTCTTGAAATTTCGAATGGAATTAAGATTTCGGTTATGTTAAATAAACGATTTTTAGGCAACTAGGCGTGATTTATTGGATCGTCAGTCGCAAATTAACCAACTACAACGCAAATGTGAGGAAATATATCAAGATTTTCCTTGTTTATCGCTGAACCAAGTTGATTCATCAATGGACTCATTACTTGAGAAAATCGAAACAGTTGAGACAGTTATCAATCGTTCATTGAAGAAGGGAGAAGATTCTGATAATGGTGTTGAGGTCTCTGTCGTATTTGACGATGCATATCCAACGAATTGTGAGCCTGATGCATTGTCTCTGACAAGCATTGGTCCACTCTCTCTTGCTCTTGAAGTACAGGTATCATATCGCAAATATTAGTAAATTGCTTAAGCAAGGCAAATTATGCTGGCGTTTAAATAATAAATGAGATTGTTGTAAGAATCTAGTTTGTCGTTTCTAGTTTGAATTTTTGTTGAGAAGGAAATTTTTCAAGTGACATTTATTCAATGGTTTTTTTTAATGGTATTCTTATTTGTTTGGCTACTAAGTTTATCTATCTTATATCTCTCTTAACTGATTTTTCATAACGGTGAGTTTTAGCTAGAAAAAGTAATAATATTTTGATTTCCTCATTTAAGGAAACTGAGGATGAACGTTCGCGCCTCGAATATATAATTCCAGTTCCAAGCACTGCACCAGAAATTAAAATTGATGTGGTGCCTTCGTCAGATTCGTTTTATTTCGAGATGGATCAGATTGAAGAGATTCTTAACGAATGTAAACCAATGCCGTACGATTCATTAGCAGCAGATTTGGAAACAGTGCAGGTTAAGTTCAATATATGTCTTCTTCCATTTCATCTCTTGTCATTTCGATAAAATACCTTTGAAGAATTGAATATCTACTAGAAACAATTATATTCAGGCAATCGAAGATCGCCTGAACAAAGTGGATGATGCTATTATAAAATCTCAAATGACTATGGATTTGCTGGAATTTGAAGCTGCGAGAGATCGTCTTAATTCTTTACGAATACTGTATGATGAAAAGATGAAGTGAATTTTTCTTCAACTTTTATACTTTTGAATTATTCCAGGATTAAATTGTCTTTTTCTATTGGACAAAGCAAATTAATAGATTTGGATGGTCTATACCTGGTCGTAAATAATTGGTTTAAAGGAGAACAAATCTTACCAATAGCTTAAAATATTTTTTATAGGGAATTGAAAGAAAAAATGGATATTTGGAAAAGTATTCAAAGTTATTTCGAGGCTTGCGATGAACACCTTGCTGAGATAGATAAAATACTTGACGATGTCGATAGCCGTAACAAATCACCTGAAATCGGTGAGCTGGAAACTATAACTATTGACTTAGAAGATCACCTTCAGCGAACTCTTGGCCAGATTCAGCATACTTCTGTTAAAGTAAGTAATTTATTAGTTTATTAGTATCTATTGTATTTATTATTGTTTTATTAGTTAAAATCTGTTTCAAGCAACCAAAAATTGAATTGAAAGTTCAAGTTTTCAATTAAAAATTCTAATTCTAAAAATTCTTTTGTAGGTCGAAACAATATTTCCTGAAATGAGCGATAATATAGCTGAACAAATTCGTAAACGTTTACACGGACTTGGTGATGAATGGAAGAAGCGTGAAGATAAAATACACCAGAAGCGCAAACGTTTAGATGAGAGACTTGCTGATGAATCGGAACTTAATAATGAAATCGAACTGCTGGAATTTTGGTAATTTATCACTTGTTTTTAGTGATTCTGGTTTGTTTTGTATGTTTATAAAATTATTTTAAATTTAAGAACTACTTTGTATATATTTAAGCTGTACTTAAAATAATGTGGGTGATAAAGTGATATAAGCGATTTAAACTGATAAAGATGATATATTCAAGTGATATTTTGAAGAAGAAGAAAGCAATATCAACTTTTTTAGCCATAGTTCAGGCCAAAGAGAATAGTTGCAAATATTTTTTTGCTAAATGGTTTTCAGAGATTCATTCTTTTAACGAATTGCACCATTACTGGTTAGGCTGATTCGGCTAGTTGCAAGATAACTTTCCGCTTGATCTGATACCAAATCTAGAAGTAAAACTCTTAATTTCAAAGGTTCCGTTTATTTTAAGGTGTGATGAAACTGAAACCGAATGCGCAACGATGGTCAATTCATTAAATGTTGTTGCTGTTGAGGAACTGTCTTGTCGTATTCAAGTGGTTTTTTTTCCCATTTCCTAAATTTGATATCACTTTAATGTTACTTATGATATTAATTTATAAAATTTTGGATTTAATTTAAAGGAACGTTTGGCTGAATTTGAATCAAAACGTGAAAATCTTCGCAATATCGAACGTCTCAAAGATCAAATCTTAACCGCACAATTTGTGGAACCATCAGCAAAGCATCGCACCAGACGTCTCGTATCTGAATTGGGTAAAAGGATAAGCAGTGTAAGTTGTAAAAATTCGCATAGTTTTCACTTTGATTAAGTTTGTGCTACGGTATTTATAGAATTTTGCGCTAGTATAACAGTTGGTTACATATGTAGCTACCACGCAAAAATATACAGTTTCACCGTGCTTATTATGATGAATGCACAATAAAGTGCTCAATAGGTAATGCGATAGCGACATAATATGAGCAATTGCATTTAATAATTGCATATAATAATATGTAATGATGAGCAATACGTGAGGATTAAACGCTATAACGCTAGCAAGATCGAGCCATTTGGCCTCAACAAACCAAAAGATTGATTTTACGATATTATTAGCATAAAGGTGCCAATGATTGTTCCATATTGATCCTTATGATTCTGAAATTTGATCTGAAAAATGTTCATACGAGAAATTTATATTAAAGTTTACATTTACAGGTTCGAGTTGATTTGGCTGAGCGAAAAGTTGCATTAAATGCGTTAAGTAAAAAATCGCAAGATTTTTCCAATGATCTTTCAACAATTAGCGATTTTTGCAAGCAGTGTGATAAGGCACTTGATATGTTTGTTGCTTTTCTTCAATCTACTATTTTTTTCAGTTTCATTTATCATGTTTGAAATTTTTTAAATTTAACTTGTGGGTTTTTCCCGCTGTAAAAATCATTTTTAAGAAGCTTCATTATTTCCTTTTTCAGTGATTTTTATTAATGTTTCAGAAGTTTTGAATATTTATCAGATTTCTTATTTATCTTATTATCAGATTGTTTTCAAAAGAAAATTCCAGAGTTGAAAATGCTAAAATTTTCGTACCATCAGGAACAGAATTAGACAATGTTCGTGTAAAAGAAAATGAAATGGAAGAGATTTTTGATTCGCTAAAGGTGCGATGGTCCGATGCGCTCACCGAAGAGTTACCGCCAGATGCGAAGCATTGTTTGGTAAATTTCATATCTTTCACATGAATTTTTCATTTTTTGCGAAGATTTTTTAATTTTTAATTTTTTGTTTTTTTTCTGAAATTCGATTTTTGATTTGTTCTTTTCTTACGAAGCGTGTTTAGTAATATAAATGGAATTATAAAGCGTAAAACGTAAAATTTTAGATGATTGAAGAAGTTTTCAAAAAATATGAAAGAACAAAAGAACGACTTCAAGCTGCTGCTTTATTGCCAACGCTTGCTTATGATTCTTCTTCTGCAGGTATAAATGAGTTATTTTTGAAGAAATCAAAACAAACATTTCGGATATTTAAGGATATAGATGTTTATTAAATTATTAAATTAAATTAATTAAATTATTGTAGCAGAAGTCGCTGTATCAGAAGCTGGAGCTAGCGATGAAGCAGTCGTCGAATCAGAAGCAGTCCTAGAATCCGAAGCAGCAATATCTGAACCCGTTGTTGCTTCTGAATTTGTTTCTTCTAGCGAATATGGAACTCTGAATAATTCATTAGTCCCAGAAGAACCAGTAGTTCCTGCACTTTCATCTCGAGAACAAAAATTAATGGATTCTATCGTGCAGTTCAATCATTGGCTTTATGAGATAGAACGTGATGCTTCGATAACGGTTGATATTATCGATGTGCAGGGAATTCGAAGTGCAGTAAATAAGATGCAGGTAAATTCTTTTATTATTACTGAAAGTTAGGTATGATTTTGTTCACTATTATATAATTTGATCACTGATGATTAGTTTTTTTTTTAGTCATTTATCGATCAACTTAAATTACGTCATCTCGATATCATTCGTATATTAGATGAAAGCCAATCAAAAATGATTCGAGACAAAGCTGAGTTAACTCTTGGCGAATGGAATCGAGTAATTAGTGAATGTCAGCGTAGGAAATGCGTGCTTAATAAAATGGTTGATGATAGTCGCTTGTGGGATCAGTTAAGATGCAGCGTGCAATTATGGCTAACTGATGCGCAAGAAAGGTTAATGCATTTTTTAAAAAATCATAGATTATACAAAAATAAAAATAAATATATAATTTATTACAGGTTAAATGAAGGAATCAGCGTAAATGCTGCAACTGAAAATGCTCTCGTTACTGAAATTACATCTCTCGAAGAAATGGTTAATAAAGTTGATGAAATGAGAGAAAAAATGGCTGAACTTAACAATCGTAGCGATGCACTTTTAGATGAATTTCGTGTTGATGAAGGACATAATCTATCGCATATAACTTCTAAAATGAATACGCTTTGGAGTCGTTTTAATGACAAGTAATTTTTACTTTCTGAAATAATTTTTATAATTAAATAATTTATAATAATTTAAATAATAATGATTTTTGTTGATAATTTCTTATTATTCTATAAAAGTTGCTTTCGATCATACACCAGAAATATATCGGTTAATTTGTAATCGGTTAATATCGGTTATCGGTTGATTTAGTTTGCGTATTCGTCGTGCTATTTTGGAGGCCGCTTTACGGTCAAAAAGTAACTTTCGATCCGCGCTTTCTCAATTAGAATTATGGATGGATCGAATTGAATTATCTGTTGATGAACTTGAACAAGCAACATCGAATATGCAAAGTTTAAAGAATTCAGTGAAAAGGAAACGATGGAATGAAGCAGAAAAAGTATTATTATGAGCATTGTTAATTTTTGGGTTTATCGACTAGGATCGCTGAACTTTTGTTACTTCCCTCTAAATTTATCTGTAAAAAGTTTTGCTTTTTTAGAGTATCCGAATTGATATTGATGCCCACAAAGATATTTTTCATTCAGTCGATGAAATGGGTCATCAAATAATGCGAGGAGTTGATGATATGAAAGAAAAAGAACGGCTTGGCGAGCGTCTTAATCACATAGAGATGAGATGGAAGAAAATCCTTTCATTTGCAGGCAACATTAAGTAAAATTTCCATATTTTTATTATTCATAATATTCAGAATATTTCGAAATTTTTCAGAACCCGATTGGAGAATGCCGAAGAAGAATGGGAAAAATTAATATCGAACCTTTCTGAAAATTTATTTTGGACTGAATCGCAAAGCAATGCGATTATTAACGAAGGACCTGTTGGTGGATCATTAGCAAGAGTTCAGCAACAAAACCAATTCATAAAGGTTGAGAATTGACTAAATTATTTTATGTTTCCTTATTTTTTATATTCTTTTTTATTATTTAATATTTTATTACTTTTTCTCACTAATAATTTATTTTTTAGAATCTCGAACGCGAAATATATCGCCGACAAAAAGAAATTGATATTAGCATTACATTAGCTCGTAGTTATTTGATGCAGCACGATTTACGACCGCGAATCCATACACCTAGCGCTTTATCCGTCGAATCAGTTCAGGAACAAGGTAAACAAAATTTTTAATTAATATTTCAATTTTCAAGAAATGATCCTAAATTTCTGTTTTTTAAATTTCTGTTTTTTCCGTGCAATTTTTGCACAAATATTATTGAGCATGACTTGATAACTTAAAAGTTTAACTTAAAAGTTTAACTTAACAGACAAGGAAGCTGCGGAACTTCGCCGAGTCGGAATTCAAATAAAATCTGACAGCGACAAGCTGGAGAAAATGTGGGTAGAGTTAAAAACTCAGGTTGAAGCGTGGTCGAAAATTATTGATGATGCTCATGAAAAAATGGAAAAATTAGCTAGTGCGGTTGCTGAATGTCAGTTAGCCTTATCGAATATGGAATCAAAAATGGAATTAATAAAACCCGTCGAAGAGGTATTTTCCTTCATTAAATTGCAAAATTATTTGAATTTTTTGGCTCAAAAGTTTTTTTTTTCAAATTCATTTTATAATTCGAAAGGCATGCTCGAATTCAAAATAGGAATAATTTCATTTTTAGTTACGCTTGGAGGAACTGATGAGTGCAGTTGATGAATGTGATAAATTAAAAGAATGTCTTGCTCGTACTCGCATTCATATCGATGATGCAAATGATTGGAGTGGCCAACTTCTGGCTTCAGATGTCGAACTGGATGCTGAACCAACAGCACAAATAAAATCTGTTAATGATCGGTTTGTAATTAAGATTTTTATTAGATTATCTATTGTAAATCCACTAATATATTGTATCCCTTGACTTTTTAGACTAAATAAGTTGAAAGCAGATTTAAAAATTCGTGTCGCCGCTTTGGAACGTGCAGTAACTGATTTTGGCCCATCGAGTCAACATTTCTTGATGAATAGCGTACAACCACCGTGGCAGCGAGCAGTTTCATCTACTAACCATCTTCCTTATTATATTAAGTAAGGAATTCGATAAATTATTAAAAATTGGTTACAATAAATCTCACGTTTTTCTTCGATAAAATCTTTAACTTTTTTTGAAAATACTAAGATGAAATATGATTATGATTATTTTTACGATTTTAGCCATGAAACGGAATTGACTCAGTGGGATCATCCCATAATGGTCAAAGTTATTGGCGAATTATCAAATTTTAATCAAATCAAATTCTGTGCATACCGGACGGCAATGAAATTGCGTGCACTCCAAAAACGATTATGTTGTAAATTTTTCATTTCAGTTATTTTCTTGTTTTGATTAATTTTATTTATTAACTAAATATTGATTAATCAAATTTTAGAAGCTATTCTTTATCTATTTTTTCTAGCTTTATTTAATATTTTTTCATTGTAATCAATATTTTATGAATTTTTCGTTTTAGGTATTAGTGGCTCCAAAAAAAATCTTATTTTTATTTTCAGTAGATTTGTTAAGTCTTCAAGAACTTGATTGTAAACTTCAACCTCTCGATGCAAAATGGGGCGAACAACGGCTCGCTATCAAGGATGCAGTTATGTGCTTGATGCCTCTTTTTGAATCAGCGCATGGCAAATTTCCTAACTTAATTCGTTCAGTTCCACTAGCTGTTGATCTTTTTCTCAATTTCTTACTCAATGTTTACGATCCGTTAGTTTTTTTATTTTACGAATACTTTATTTTGCCAAAAATCCTGAATTTCAATTATTTTTTGAAATGGTTTGAAACTTTTCGTAAAACTTGTTTTTAGCGCTCGCGATGGTACTCTTCGAACTATTTCTTTTAAAGTCGCATTAGTGACTTTATGTAACGCTAATTTAGTCGACAAATATAAATGTTAGTTACTACAGTTTTGATTGCAGAATGTATTTTTATTAAATTTCTAATCAATTTTATCACTAACAAAAGAATTAATACGATTTTGTTGCATAGTTATGTTTCTTATGTTTCTAGAAGTTTTTTAAAAAAATGAAAGCAAAATCATCAATTACCTTCGTATATCTCTGAAAAAGCAATTCAGATTTCTATCATTTGGTGTCAAGTAGCGATGGAATGGATCAAAAACGGCTTGCATTATTACTTTACGATATCATTCAGGTAATGAATATTAGACAAAATTTTTGCTAAGGTCAACTTTCATCTCTTTTTTAGATCCCAAAATTCTTGGGTGAAGCAGCTGCATTTGGTGGATCTAATGTTGAACCATCGGTCAGATCCTGCTTTGAAACGACTAAATTCAGTCGAGCAATAAAAATTGACGAATTTCTTGCATGGCTGAAAAAAGAACCACAGAGTATCGTATGGTTACCTGTAATGCATCGTTTAGCTAATGCGGAATTCGCAAAACATCAGGTTACAAAAATTTTTGCCATGTAAGGCTGAAAGAAATGAGACAGACGACAGATTTTATTTAGAAATATTTTGTCATTTTTTTAGGCTAAATGTAATATTTGTAAAATGTTCCCAATCATTGGTCTTCGCTATCGCTGTTTACAATGCTTCAATATTGATTTATGCCAAAATTGCTTCTTCAGTCAACGAATTGCAAAAAATCATAAACTGACCCATCCAATGCAAGAATATTGTCTTCCGGTAAATATTAGATTTTAATACCTTTTCTATAATTTTTCCATTTTCCTTCTTTCGCTACTTGAAAGAATTCCTAATTTCGATATTTAGACTACATCTGGCGAAGATGTTCGCGATTTTGGAATCATGGTGAGAAATAAGTTCCGATCACGAAGTCGAAGTCGAATTGGTTATTTACCAGTTCAAACAGTTGATGAAGGTGTTCCAATCGAGACAATAAATGTTGCGCCATCATGTCCTCTAACTGAGCCTCTTCATAATCGGATGCACTTGTGTTCTCAAAGGTTTTTTACTTAATTCTTACTCTCCATAAGTCAGTGAATATCTTTTAAAATAACATAATAACATATTACAATTGGGAAATTGCGAATAAAATTTGAAGGTTATGGCGAATTCGTCGTGAGGATACCACTTCACAGCAGTTAATGCCAGAAACAATCGAGGATGTTGGCAGAATGGAATTGAAATCACCACTGCAACTGTTATCGCAAGTCGACCAAATGCATAAAGAGGAACTTGACCAAGTTCTCCATAAATTGCAACATGAAAACAGGTTTTTTCTCTTAATCGAATAGTAAGATAATTAAGTTGCTGAACGATATTATTGCAAGCAATTTAGTTTGCAAAACAAATTAGCAATTTTGCAGGGAACTAAAAAAAGAAATAGAAAGGAGGAAAAATTCTGTAGGTATTGCGTCAACACCAAATTTGAACTACTCAGCTCGTAAATGCGATGGAAGCATGGCTAGCGGTCGTTCAGTGCCTTCATTACCTAGTTCAGCAGATGAACAGTTGTTACGTGAAGTATGCCTTTTCTTGAAGTTTCTTTATTTCACCCATTTCTCGATTTGAATATCGTTTATAGGCCTATTTGCTACGACAGCACAAAGAACGTTTGGAGCAGAGAAGTCGCATATTGGAAGAGCAGAATCGACAATTGGAAATGCAGCTTGCTCGTCTTCGAACCGTTATTGCGCAGGCAAGTTTCTTATCCAAACAATCTTTCTTTATATTTGATCTTTCTTAAAAATATTTATTTCTCAATATTATTTAATTAAAGCAAAGCGGAATGGAAAACGGTGAAAATATTGTATCGGGAGATGACAAAGAATTTAGTGCGGCATCAGAGGAAGACGAAGGAATAGAATACGACAGTCGTCCGAATCGTATGAATTCTTTGATAGCATCGGTGGATCAGTTGGGTCGAGCAATGGAGTCTCTTGTTGTATCCGTGGTTAATGTCGACGATTCAAACGATGATGAAGATACACTTAACGAGAATAACTAAATATTACCCTAAATCCTTTGTACAGAAAATATTTCCTTCATCAATCCGATTTTAAGTTTAGTAAACTCACTGCTTCATCATAAAACAATAAAAATGATATGAAGCATATATTTTAATTAATATATATATATATTAATTAAATTTTTCCCTGATAAAATATAAGAATTTATTATATAAGAATAATCTGTTAAGGTGTCTGTTAATCGATCCAAATTATCGATAAAATGCAATAAATTGATAAACTGATGAGAATCTGAAGTTATCTGAACTAACTGTCCACAAAAATTGCATTTTATACATAAAGCAAACAATTCCGAAAAAAATTTTATAATTTAAAAAAATACACCTTATATAGAAGCGAAAATTTGTTTAAAAAATTTGCACATTCTATCCTAAAATAAACTAAGACCTGAAGAAAGTTTATGCGTGTTGTTTGCAGTGATATTTGCTATTGATTACCCGAATCTATGACGAATAGAAAATGTAATTATTCCCAACGATGTGATACCCATAGCTGTCCAAACCATATTCAGTTCTTTCTTATCAACCTTTATAAGTCTTTGGAAAGGGAAAATCATAGAAAGAAAGGATAAAAAATAAAAATAAGATTTAGGGATCCATTCCCAGAAGAAAAAAGATGTGGGAGCACAGAAGTGCAAGCATAGGCATAAATAATGAGTTTATATAAAAGAAATGGTATTACTGGCAAAAAGAAATCAATTTGACCTGGGTGAAGCAATTCTTTAAAAACACTCATTTTCACTTCTTGATAAGGCAACGGACTGAACTTGTCGCCTGTGTCCATTTTCTGGTCTCCGCGGCTTCTAAAATATGAAACTATTTCTTTAAACAAAGAATTAACCTTTAATCTATCAATAAAGACTTAAAAGCAAACAAATGAAAAAAAGTTACTCTTTCTGGTCCCTGGGGTCCTTCGGTGATTTCTTTTTTTATCTTCGATTTGGAAAGGCTTTTCGCTTTTTGCATATCTTCTGAAAATGTTCGAAAATACCGGCGAAATTTCCTCTTCGTGATGAAAAATTTTAAGGAAAAACGTCAGTTTCCTTTTCTTAAAGGAAATTCATGTTTTATTCTAAAAAATAAAAATGTATGAATATGAATATCAAATGAGAATATAAAACAGTTCAATATGGAATACCTGTAACCGCGGAGTAATTCAAAACTTCGTCACTAAAAGGACACAAACTTTCATTGAATATTGAAAACTCCGCAGAACTCTGAAAAATTACAACAGAATGGAGATGAAACGAATTAATACAACAAATTGGCATAATCCATTCCCGGATGATGCTGGTGATCCACCTGCTCCTCTACTGCCAAATAAATTTCTGGCAAAATCAGTCTGCTCCGACAAACAACCGTATATCAGAAACAGTGAGCGCTAAAAAATTTCTATTTTTAATAATTCTTTTAAATTGCCAAAAAACTCCTAAAAATTTTGAAAATTGATAGAATTTTGACAGAAGCTTGAAAAAAAGAAAACAAAAAAGCTAACCGGCTTATCCTGGGCCGAAATCTGGGAGACTGAAGACGTATTCCATAATGTTAAGCTCAACAGTTCAATAAGTCTGTGTTCATCTGAACTGCGCAATTCTACTTTAGGCACTGTCGATTGTTTGATTGCATCTAATACTTGGATCTGCATTATTATTACTTTACTATTTATAAAATTAAATCAAATTATAGCAAAAAAACTGTGTGGTGCTTGTTTGAGGCAGAATGTCGATTTTGGCTACTTTTATGGAATCCCTATTTCAATTCTGCAAGAACCTTTTTTCTAATTCTAATTAATATTAATATTATTAGTTTCTATTAAGCCTATTTTTGTTTTCTTTATCACAGAATGTTTTCTCAGGTGATTTGGTAATTTGATATCATTCAATTTTTACTGCCTTTTTCCATTAATGGGTACTAAATGAATAGGTCGGTGGATTGTTGCTCAATTTACCAAGCGCTGATGCTAAAAGCCCACTCCCTGCGGGAGTAACCCTCTCCAGAAATCTTGGTAATGGTGACGACTCACCTGTATTTATACTGCAAAGGGATTCCCTTGCACAACTATCTAGTGCGACAAGCCGCCACGGCAAGTACTGGTGACAGCTCTTTAAAAAAAAAACTAAGAAAACAAATTTTAGTGATAAAATGATAATTGGCTGATCTTACAGCAATTTTTCGTTCATCCATATAATCCGTGTCAATAAGAGATTTGCGACGGCTAGCGATTTTACGAGGTAGATTCTTCTTCATTTCACGTAGACGAATGGCGAACTGCTTAATCGATTTACGCTTCTCCTTGATCTGAAATTAAACTCTTTAAAAGTCGAATTTTATCACCAAATTCTAAAAGAAATTAATTTTTGTAATTGTTAAATTAATATTATTATTGTTGAAAAATAAAAAAACGTCTTTTAGAAAATCTTGTTGATCACTGAATTCATACGAGATCGTTTTTCCATTTACGTGCTGCAGACGTAATGGAAATTTCAGGTGAGAGTGAGAAATCTGGCTCTTTTTCTGCGGAAAAAATAGGTAAATCTCCATAGAAAGGAAGAAAATTGGATAACGGCTTTTCGACTGAAGATTTGGACGACGGTTTTGCCATGTGCCATGTAAGAAAGGGCTAAAACATAGGCGAAATCTAGAAAATACGATGAAATTTTCCATAAAATATTACAAAACTACCCAGTCATTTAATTTTCTCTCTTTCCATCGCGAATTTATTAAATATTTTGTATAAAAATAAATAAAAAAATTAAAAAAATTTACTTCATATGCATCACATGTGCCGTTGGAAAAGAGACGATTTTGGAAATCTGAAAGAAGAATAAGGTAGAAACAGTCTAATGAAAATGTTCAATCTTAATTTAGATAATAGTTGCTGCGAATACTAGTGAACAGCCAAATTATACAAGTAAGTTCACTATTTCCGTCCAACCATTACGGCAAATTTTTACCAGAAATGAAGCGACAAAAATAAAGATTCGCACTTTTTCATGACAAAAGTGCTAGCTGTGAATAGAACCTATGAAGATAAAATGAACTGCAGAAGTAACCATAGCACGATTATCCTCATTCCAACCCTCGCTTTCCTTTGTTTTACCAGAGATTTAACTCATCAATATAAAATTTTGTAGTTCTTAAAATTGTAGTTTTTTTGTAGTTAAAAAACAAAAAGGCATAAAATTTAGAAGAAATTTCGATGGCTTTCAATGGGACAACTAAGAAAAGTGAAAAAAAGCCTACCGATTAGTGATCGAAATGAGATAAAAACGGCATGGAAAAGTATAATCAAGCTGAAAACTTTAACCAAATCGCACAACCTGAGTAGGCTATATTCTTTCTTGTTAAAACATTCTTGAATCAGTAATTTGCCAAATTCGTCGTCTAAAATTATGTAAACTTTTGCGCAAAAAAGGATATAAGCAATCAACAAACACCGGCTGATATCACTGTAGAGAAAGTTTGGGACTAAGAAGCTTGGAAAACTTAGACCTAAGACCACCCTAAGCAATACTACGAGAAGAAAGAACAAGACTGTGAAGGCAGTTCAAATCAGAATTATATGTAATGAGCCAGTATATTAAGCCAATATATATGTAAGCAAGCCGCAAACCAGCGTATAAGTACTTATGGAAACCTTGGTTCCTGTAGAAAGTCATTATGATAACCAAGAACAGTTTAAGATCGTGGAAAATTTATATAATTTACCTTTAAACTCCTTTGAAATCGTACGAGACTGAGTATCCAAAAATAAATCGTTATGAAAACTGCCGTTCTGATTATTCAGCGGTTCCACTTTCTCAGAATCATCCTCAAATATAAAGCAGAAAGGCGATATATCATCGCTTTTTTCTGTAATACTATCGTGACTGTCCAGTGAGGAATTTATTTGAATTTCTTCACGAACATAGCCCTTAGGATCCAGTGAAAGTTCATTGCATCTGATGATCATTAGGACATTCTCTTCGACAAAGTCACTTTTAACTGAGCTTATATTTAAATCATCCTTTTTAGTAGAATCAGATTCTTCAGTACAATCGATCATCGCGTTATCCTCACTGATACTTCCATCCTGAAAAATATGAAAACTTCTTTAACCTACTGACTTGACCACATTGAAACTTATGGAAAAAACCTGGAGAGACTGCCAGATATCTAGCCGATTCAAGCCGATGGACCAACAATGCGTCAAGGTCGAAAGCTATTAATTCAATCGACATTCAACTTAAAAGAATTTAAGCAAACTCAATTATTTAATTGAAGAATAACTGAATATTTCCTAAATAATCGGAATATAACTGAATATTTCCTAAATAATCGGAATGAAATCTAGTACAATTAATTTTTAATAATTCTGGAGATAAGCATTACGCCCAAATTCTACAAAATTGTTCCCTTCCTTTCTACCCCCACTAATTTTTTTCATTTTTCGCGGTGAAATCATAAACAAATGTGTTTAATATCGACTGACACTTCCAGATTGCGAATATTCCTTCAGCTTACAGAAGCCGTCTTCATCAATATGAACCACACTCTCATCATTACTTGAATTTTCTTTTCGTGAGACATCCGACGAAGACTGTAAATAATATGACAAAAAGCTAGTTCGAGACAATATCATTAACCTTAAATAGTCCCACTGGGCGCCGGCGCTCTCACATCCCGACGAAGACCTCACTCCTAACAGTCAGTGGAGAAATGCTGAATGTTATTTAAAAAGGTGATAATTAAAACATTAAATATTAATACCAATTATCAATTCGAATTAAATTTTTATTTGATAAATAAATTCTGAGGTCGGGAGTTCGATTCCCCCACCTTCCACTGAGATTTTGGTGTTCAACGTTCGCGGATTCTCTCCAAGACTGCTAATCATTGGCTCAGTGGGTTGTTGCTCAATCAAGAGCGCCGATGCTGAGGTTCGATTCCCCGCAGGAGTAAACCTGTACAAAAATCCGAGTGATGCTGGCGACTCACCTGTATTTCTATCGCCAAGGGACTCGCTGGCATGTTGCCCAATGCGACAAGCAATGAAATAAATGAAATAAATTCAATTTTCTCGAATTTACACGATCAAATTATTAATTAATTATTACATACCCCGTCGTATTCGAGGAAACTCCACGATTCAACTGATTCTGTGTTACTGCTTGTTAGCGATGATTTACGAGAAGAACGAGAAGAGCCATCGTCGGAATCGCTCATCTCAAATTAAATTTTCCTTAAAACTTTCGCTTTTGAATAATTCGTAAAAATAAAATCAAACATTTGCAATATTAATTAAAATTAAAGATAACTGAAGGTTTATTTATTGAAATCGTTTTAAAAATATTCAAAAAAGATTTTCGAAGGCGAATAAGTGCGCTAATTAAAAAATAAAAATAAATAAATAGTGCCGGGCGACATTCATCATTAATGAAAATGCAGAAAATAAAAAAATCAGCAAAATAATATAAAAATCGAATGTGTAATTTTGCAAATAAATATTATACGCAAATAAATAAATATTATTTATGATATTTATAATGAAATATTCATTATAATATTTATTACATTTCATTTCAAAACAATACGAGGATTCGTATAATTATAATATAACGTTTCCACCTTTATAGCTTCTCGATAAATTTGTTATGTCATAGGTGCCTTAGGACCAAATGGATTTTTAATGGCATCGACTTTACTGCAACCAGAGTCAGAGGTGACAACTGGTGACTAGTGGCGATAACCTAATAATTCGATCAGACATTCTTTTCTATTTAAAATGGAATTAACTAAATAATTCGAATCTAATGACATAATGATTTGAACGAGAAGAATAATTGTTTTGGCAAGAACAATGTGTTTCGATTTTTCCTTGAAGGGAATCATTGAAAATGAGAGACGGCGTAATTGCAGGAGAACCATCTGTTCTTCCATCTGCAAGGAACGGTCTTCTTTAACGATCCACTAATGCTCATCCAAACGGTTAACCGTCTCACTCAGTCTAACTTAACCAGATTTTTTTTTTGATAACATTCACCACAAACTGGTTTTATCTGGCTCGTTTAAACTTATAGTTTGTTCTTTTCAACACACACTGCTGCTTTATTTTAATGTTGATCACAACAATACCCCACTTAAATGACCTCTGCCATATACGTATATTACGTAAGAATAACCAAAGAGAACACAGCGATAGCTTCTTCTAACCCTCTCCATCTCTCCAGCCCTCACTATCACTGGTTAGGCTGGCTGTAAAGATAAGTCATCTCCAAGCCGATGCCATCGCTAGTACTAATAGAAGCCATTCCTTTTTCCATCGTCTAAGTCCACATATTGCTGGTCCATATACGTTCAAAATCTTCCCTGACTGTATCAGTCCAGACTTGGTTCACTGGCTCACCTCGCTTTTACGCCAGCCATCACAGGATTTAGCAAGTAACGAAATGTGAGTCAATTCGTGTGATGGATGATGAAGAACGTGTGCTAACCAGCGAAGGCCACTCTCTGTGATAACATTATTAATACAAGTGGATAACCCCGTAAGTCGCAATAATCGAAATATCACCAAGTGAATATTTATTTTTATAATTTTTCACAATTATCGCCTATCGCTTACTGTAAATAACGAAAGACGATAAAATTACGTAAAAATAGTTTATTCTATAAGCTAAATGGCAAATGAAAATGAGATAATTCACAAGAAATTGAGTAAACTAATTCAATAATACTGCAAAGTGCCACGAAGTCGTTTCCTTAGGACATTAAAGAACCATCTCAAATGGAGAAGAAATCAATCTTAGGTTGGAAGTAAGCAGAACCAAACACATCAGAAATGGTGAGAGCTGCAAATGTACTGGAAGACTGAATGATAACGATAATGATTAATTACTCATCAGCCTTTAGTAACACAGCTTAGCATTCATTTCCTTCTCCTCGTGCAATTTCGAATGTCACAAATTCATCAAAAATTTTCAATTTAAGCAAAGAAATATGAAAAAAAGTATATTAACTGAGACCGAACTGCAGATCAGTCAACTAATAAAATCGTTATTATCATTTGGCTATGATTAAAAAATCCAAGTTATGCTTGCGACTCATTCGTAATTTCTGTCGCAAAATGAATTCCATAGCAAAAAATTTCAACCGCCCGTGCAACAAACCAAACCACAAAATGGTGAGCGTTAGCCACTCGCTTTATTTATGTCATTTGTTTGGAGAAAATAAAACTATTACACAAAAATTATTCAACATCTATTAGCTGCCATTGTTATGAAGAAAGTTCGAAATTATTTTCATCATATTTTTAAAAAAAAAATTAAATAAAAATTGAGAAAATAATTAAATTTTTGGCTTTTTGCTTATGCCAGCGGAAAAATTTTAATAATAAATCAAATATTTAAAATTTAAAATACTTTTAAATTTAAATTAAAAATTATCGTCAGAAATGAATTCCATAATGCCAATGAAAAGGAATCTTTAAACGCTAATGAATAACGACGATGGATGAACGCAGTGGATGGATAAATGGAGGGATGGATAGGCCAACAGACAGATGGGGCTGTTTAACTCCCCTTCATAAGATTTACGAAGAACTGCATATGGAGCACATTACAGCGCGGAAATTTTATGAGACAAGCAGGGCATATTTCAGAAATCCATCATCTGCAGTCCATAGTCCGGAAACTCTTTAGCAGAAGAATGGACAATTTTGTAAAATTCCACCACTATAATTTTAATATTACTAAAAGCTGCCACTTGTAATTCCATTCACAAGTGATTTTTTGGCTGATGCCTGCTTCCTAGCTTTAACGATAAGCTCAGCCAGAAATGATTACTGCTGCTAGTAGTTAAATTGCTAAGATCTTCCTTTGTTCTACAATCCATTATTTAATGAGAAAATATTTTATCTGATCGTCTGGTACATATTTTCATCCGCAATGATTCACCTGGTGCAGCTTCCGTACATCGCTGTGAAGTACCGTCATTTTAAATGATAATAAATATTACGAATTGGCCAGCACTATGAATAATTAAGGAGTAAAATCTATGAGATAAATTGCGTTACCATTTTATCACATCAGTATTATCAATATTATTATGACATCAGCCATATATCAGTAAATGATCATATTTACGATAAATGTAATAAATAAAATAATAAATATGGCTTGTTCATAGCACTTATCCGTGCATTGGAAGTACCACCGCCGCAAAGGGAATTTTAGGACTGAAGGACCAAATCCCTTCGGGAACCTCTCCGTTCATGGATGACGAAAAATTTGGTGGAAAGATTGGTTGGAGAGAACAAAATAAACGAGTCACGTGAAATCAAGCGAGTAACAACAATAACAATAACATTCGGAATTTCGCAGCAAAATCGATGACACACACTTGCGGTGCATTTGCTTTTAATGTTTTTCCCAAACCAAATCCATAAAAACTTTGACAAATTATTGCTTTTACGGAATAAATGTATTTTTTGTATTAAAATATATTTATTTTAAAATTTAAAAAATATAAAACATTTTTTTATTTTTTATTTATATTTTTATTTAAAACGATTTAACAAAAAAAAAGTTTTATAATTTTTTAATGTCTCAAACAAAGCTCTAATAAATTTATACTTCTATTTCTAAATTTCTACGACGAAAAATTTTCGCTACTTTCTTGAACAATTGAAATTTAGTGAACAATGAAAAAAAAACTGTCGAGTTTAATTGTCAACAAACTGATAATATTTAAGGGCGATTTTAGCATTCTCCTATTCAATCTCAAAAGTCTCTTGCGATTTAAAAAAATTATAAAGTAGGACCCAATGATAACAGAGTTGTGATAACGAAAATGATAAAAGTGAAAAAATGATAAAAATAAAGAGGAGAGAAATTTTTTTAAAGATCGATTATATTATTTTTTAGAAAATTATTAATTTACTCTTAAAATAGTAGTAAAAATTCCTTCAGGTGATAATTTTTTATTCGAGCGGTTTATTAATAAATGAATTTCCGCGAATTTTCATTAGGCAAATGGCTTTCCTATAGTTTGTAGGTAAAAATTTGTTATGGAATAGGCAAAGGCAAATAATATCAGTTAAAATCGGCTTGTATTTAATTTAATTCGTCTAATTATTAGAAATCAACATTATAATTCAGAAATCTGAGTAAATCTGAGAAAAGTTAACTTGTTAAATTCAACTTAGCAAAAAACTGCTTTCAGTTTTGGCGAAGCGCTGTGATGATTAGAATCTAAGTTTCACCAACAATTACTTAAAGCAAAATTTGAAATATTGCTAAATTTTACGATCACGAATATTATCGACAAAAATTGCTAGGGATCAGTCATTTAAGGTTGTCGTGGTTCTTCCTACACAGAAACCAGGTCGATAAACGGAAATTCATCTCACAGTAGTAATATAATTGTTGTTCTCCATGTTGCTTGAGCCACTCGAGAACTTATTTGTGCAAGTAACATTAATTCAATTTGCTATAGCCCTTAATATTTGAAAACCCGTCAAATGCATATGAAAGTAATTAATGCCAATAAAAATGGCAAGAAAATAAAAAGCCAAGCAACGACCAATGCGGCCAATCGAAAACTGTGATTAAAATGAGCGAAAGAACGAAAAAATGCAACGCAAAAAATTGTTGAAAAAAACGAACAAACTTATTTTTTTTGTTTTTTGGATATTTTAGTCGTAAAATCTTCAAAATTAGAAGCGATAGTCTCAAATGCTAGAAAAAATTATTTTATTTTTTAATCAGTCTTTTCTCGCGAATGCATGTGCATGTGTGCATGTGTGCATGTGTGCATGTGTGCATATGTATGTGCAGCTGCATTTTGCATCACAAAGCGATGAAAATAAACAAAGAACAATTCAAATTTGAGCCGCAACATCGATAATCATATATCATTTATAAGCCAATCACAACGAGTTTAATGACAATAAAAAAGATTTTTTTTGCAACAAAAAACATAAATCTTAAGATTTGAAGGAATGGAAGAACGAAAATCCCTGAAAACTGGCTTGGAATAAAAAAAAGGTTGAAAAAGCAACAAAATTCGACTATTCAGTTACAGTCGAATTACGCTAATGGACAAAAAACACTGTTATAACGAAACTTATATTAACAGAAAATCTTCTAGCAATCTTTTTTCCGGATCAAAAGCGATTTTCTGGACGAAAGTCCCGGAAAAGTTCGAAAGCCCATTTGTATTTTTTTGCGCAAATATAAATCACAGAAATTTAAAAAAATCTCATGAAGACATTGCGTGCCAATAGCGGTTTCGGATTAAGTTCACGATTCCCTTTACGAGTTAAATAACCCTTCCCATGCAACGTTTTGTTGAACACGCTGAAAGAATTACTGGGACAATTTTTCATTAATCTTCACTTTACTAATTACTAATATTTTATGTAGAAATCTTCAGCTTTAGCTGTTAAGTGATGAAAAATGGGACCATCAAAAACGTAAAGGAAAATTCCAAGTCCGACAGCCTCGACGCAAGCAAAAATAAAAGCTCTTCCAATGCTAAAAAATTTTAAATTAAGCAATTTTTTCCACAATCTTAACTAATTTATTAACAAAAAAAACGACAGTTTTTCTTCAATTTGAATGAAAATTCAACATTCGACCTGAATTTTTTTGCAAATTTTTTATTCAACTTTAATAAAAATTTTATGAAAAAGCCGATAACGATAAAAACAAGGGACTGAAGCAAGCCGAGCAGCAACAGCAACAACAAACGCTAGTCAACTGACTCGATTAGCCGCGAATTTTCCAATCTCTACCACTTCATTTCTATAATTTCGATTTTTCATGTAGAACATCAGTTTAAACGGTACTTGCCAGAAAAACTACGACTACAAGAAATAAACCAGTTTTTACAGAAAAAATTAAAATTCTCTTGGATGCAACGAATAAACAAATAATAATAGAACTATGGTCTCTCAACATATTTTACACAATACTTTCGCAGACAATAAGTTAATTTAAGATATTCTTCTTTTCGCAATGATATAGATGATAATTCCATAAAGAAAAGAATAAATTCGTCGATTAAACCTCTTTCTAATAGGAAAATTAACGAATTAGTAAAAAGAAAAAGGGAAAACTAGATGAATGAATACCCACAGTTATCATTAAAGCTGATCAATCGAATGGGTAAACGGTTAAAATTATTTATGTCGCTATATCGCAACAAATAAACAAATAAGTGATAAGAGAAACTCAAAAAAATTCATTTTTTCGTTTCTTCAATTTTTTCAATAATCTTTCCTTTTTCGCAGCTTTAAATTCCTCATCTTCAGGTCTGAAATTTTTTTGGTTGATGCAAATAAATTTTTAATATAACACTGAATAAATGATGAAAAATGATAGAGAAAACGTCGATTATAATTTTATTTCGATCATATGATTCGTACAGAAATAATTGATTTAATTTTCTCCTCTACTTTAAAATTTGCATTTCTTTCTAAACATTTTAAGAAATCACAAAAATCTTGAATTAGAGTCTTGAATGAATGTTAGAAATGTTAGAGTTTTCTTTGAATGATTTTAAAATAAAAAAATTAAAAAAATCAACTGACCCGTATCGGAAACGTTTCACATCTTTTCGCTCAATCGATGTTAACTCATCAATAAAATTTTTTGCCAATTTTCCTTTTTTTTTCTTCTTTTGTCTTCGTTTTTCACCTTCATTCCGTTCATCAAAAACATGAATTTTTTTATCCCTACCAGCACGTTTTGCTTGACGTATTTGATAATTGGCGATATGTCGTAAACGTTTTTCTTCTTCATCTAACTAAAAGAAATGCGTTATCATAGCGCAAAAAATTGATCTTCCTAAGACATAAAAACACAGGATGGGGCAAATTTCATAAATGCTGTGCGTTACATTAATAAAATTTAACTAACTTTCGGATCAGCAGTTAACTTCTTCTTTTCCTGTTTAATCTTCTTTTTATCTGGTTTACCTAAAGTTTAATAATAATTAAAATAATTTTATTGCGAGTATTTTATTTGTGGAAATGAATTCATGAATCCTTAAATGAAATTATAGAAAAGAATTGATGTGGATAAGCATTTTTTGCCGTGGAAAATGGAAATCAAGGCAATTACGAATAAATTAATCCGGCTAAATCAATCTCATATTAACGAGAAATTAATTCGTAAGATATAACGAAGAGTCGAAGGAAGATGATAAGATAACGATATGATAAAAAATATGAAGCAAATAATAATTGGAAATAACAAAGAAAAAAAATTATATGATTATTGAACGTTATTGTGCAAAATCAGAAGACGATAAGTTTTAAAATTAATTAAAATAATGAATAATGAAAAATTAAATTTAAAAAATTAAGAATGAGAATAAATATAAGAATTTATGTATTATGAAATCCATAAAATAACCTTGTTTAATCCATTGACGCTTTTCGGTTTTTCCATCCAGCAATTTTTGATTTGATCTCTCTATTTCTTGCTGTGCCAATCGCATCGCTCTTTCAGCTTTCTCTTCCTCCTCAATCTCTTCAATACTTTCCTTTAGTTGCTCTATGCGTTTTTTGTACGCATCAATTACACCTACAAAAATTATTATAATGATCGTTTAATAATTGAATTTCCTGTTTTAATCAATTCTTGCAAAGAAATTGCTAATTATTTTCTCTTCAACTTCAAATATCTAAAATACATAGCAAATTTAGTAACATGGAATGAAATAACTTACTGCTATCGACAAGTCGTTGTTTCAAAGTTGTTGTTTGGTTTGAAGCTACAATTTCTTTAAGAACTTTTCGTTCATCCTCACCAACTAAAGTAATTGAACGACCTACACGACCAGCTCGAGCAGTACGTCCAACACGATGAACATACTGCTTTAACGAAGATGGTGTATTCATATTAATCACCTATAAAAAATGTCTATATCCAATTAACTACTCGCCTTAAATAAAAAATAAAAAACAAAACCGTAAGAACGCCTTCGATATCAAGACCACGCGATGCGAGGTCAGTCGAAACAAGAACATCAAGAACGTTTCGCTTAAAATTCGATAAAGTCTCAATACGTTGAGATTGCGACAGACCACTATGTAACTGACCAACCTGTAAATTAAAAAAAAATTGAGTATTACAAATATTCTGAAGGTTGAAAATAGTATTTGAGGAAAAAAATTTATTAACCTTGACTCCTAAAAGACCTAAAATAATATTCAGCCGTTGACAGTCTTTTTTAGTTTTGACAAACAAAATCGTATGATCAGTAAATGTTCGAGTAATGAGCGCTGAAAAACATTAACAATTCGAAAGCTCCAAAAAAACATTATTAAGTAAATATAAAAGAAAAGAATTTTACGAAGGGAAGATCGAAGTAATTTCATAATTTACCCTGAATATCTAATAAATCTCACTTTTTACAACTTAAAAGAAGGAGGTATAACGATATAAATGGTAAGCAAGAACAAACCAACAACAATTGCTTCGCGATCACTTTCGCGATTTTGACGAATCCGTATAAATTCTTGCCGAAGTTTCAATGATGTTTTCGTATTTTCATCAATGAACAATTTGACTGGATTTGTCAACGAAACTGAGGCTAGGTCCTCAATCTATAAAAAAAAAGAAAAAATCCTCCTCAAAAGATTATTTCGAGATTTTTAAGATAAAACATCCGTAAATGGAGAATAACTGAAGTCAGTAACTAATCAAAATTAGTTTTAAAGTACAACTGCGAAATCCACAACGCAGTTAATAAATAACACTCTATATCTGAGAATTATTACAGCAAATTAATAATTAATATCAGCTAATTAATAATAATTTAAAATACAAAATAGAAACAAAAAAAGGAACAAAAATAACTTGGTCAGTCATTGTAGCTGAAAAGAGAAGTGTTTGCCGATTTCTAGCACATAAGCGAACAATTTCTTTCATTTGTATCGAGAAAGCTTCGTCAAGCATTCGATCTGCTTCATCGAGTACGAGAACCTGGAATGAACGCCTTTTCTTTAGAGAATGTTATATATATAAGGTTATAATTATAAATTGCTTGGTTGTTCCATTAAATGCTAAGGTTGAGATTCTTTTGCCAAATAGTCACTTGGCACTAGAGATTAATTCTCAATTTTAATCACTTGGAATGATCATCGGATAAAAAATAAAATCAAAAAAGCGAACTTCAACATTATGTAAGGAGAAATTCGGCGAATTATGCAAATGATCAATGAGTCGACCTGGCGTTGCAATAACAATGTCGGGCTGCTGCCGTAATGCCGATTCTTGCGCCTTTATATCCAATCCCCCTAAAAGTTTTTCTTCGGAAAATTCATTTTTTCAAAAAATTTTTCAAAAATTCAAAAAAACTGTCCACTTTTTAAATAAGTCAAATTTCATAAATTGAAATACCCAGGAAGAAAACCCACATACGTCTACAAGAAATCAGAATAAAACTGGACGGAAAAATTTTTTATCACCGAAATTTCATCGAAATTTTTTATTCGCTGTTCCTTCATTATTGAAACCATATAGTTTTAACTTTTTTAAATTAATCTAAATCAATCTCATGATAATGAAATTTTTTTGTGATAACTGTTTGAACAATTGTCACCGAGGATAATTCAAACAATTCAAATTCGAATAGAAAATGGTTAAATGAATCAATAATATCAATAAAATGGAAGGAATGAAATATTGTTCAAATTATAAAATTCCTTTATATGTATAATTTTCGATTTCAACAGATCAGTCGCTCAACTATCAACGATTTCCAAACTTTTTTTTAACTTATTAAATCCATTTTGCGCATGAAAAAGAAATTATAGGATTTCCTCTCTTTTTTCTTTCTAGTAGTCCTCCTATGCCCGATTTCGCCTGCTTTACTAACGATGATAGCCACCTCGGATTAGAGGTATACGCGTGCGTTCTCAGCAATCACTATGATTTAATTTTTAATCACAGATGTCGCGGAACATGAATCAAAACTCTGAGGTATTAACAGTCCATCAGCATCCACGATTTTCGCTTCTCATCCGATCATACCATAAAATTTTTGATTATACTTTGATTTTTGATTATAATAATTATAATTTTTTATTCATAGAACCATATTTTATACTTTTATTTATCAGCGATTATTATTATTGCTAGTAGTTGATATCACTGATTATAAATGATTAAATCTACCATAGGAAAGATAAAAAGGAATAATGAACCAAAAAAAGCGTACAAAATGGGCAATTTATGTGCTTTGTGGATTATACAACACATTTGAAAATTGGACTAGAATAATCTTACCATTCATCGAATGGATTATCCAACCAACACCAACATTGTTTCACTTAATTCTTCTAAATTCTTTTGGAAATTTTGCAATATTTGTTGGAAGTTTTTTTATTGCAGAATTTGTAAGTTTTTAAAAACATTCACTTTCGAAATTTAAAGCAAGTAACATAAAGTGCCTTATAGATTGATTCACATGGATGTCGTTTTACAGCCGCTCTTGTTACTACTTTCACTGCGATTTATCAAGCAAGTTCCCAATATTTTAAAATTTATAGGCTTATTAATTCTTAAAAATTCTGATTTTACCTTTTTCAAATCCTCTATACTAAAAATTATAGAACCATGCAAATACACCAGTTTTATAATTCAACGAATAGAGCCAGCCAGCGGTCGATTCTTTCCCTTTCTCATTTTCAATCCTTTCTTTATCACAATTCTAATAATTTATTCACCATGTACTTTTTGTCACGTTATAATTTTTTACCACAGCCATGACCTTTTCCTTACCAGTAAAGAAGAATCAAATAAGTTACAAATACCAATAACCAAGAATAATAAAGCAATGAATAATAAAATAATAAAAATAATATACAGATATTAATGTCCAGAGCTAGTAATTATTATATAATGGCTCTTATACATCTTTTTTTGTTGGCGAACCATCTACCAACAGTGTTGGATGCTCTAATTTTTGATATATGCGGTGAGCATTCGGATCGAGAAAGAGCCATTTTAATGATGAAATTAAGTGTACCACAAAATATTGCCTCAGCAGTTGGACCTTACCTTGCACTCCAGGTTTTCTCTTCACATATTTTCCGTGAAAAAAGGCATTTTACAATTACAATTCAAGAAAATGCTTTCGATAAATAATGGATATTGTTTCAGGTGTTTTTCCTAATAAGTGCAAATGCGCATATGTCGCTACTTATGTGTGGATTATTGCATCTTATCCTTATTTTACCGATACTTTTCTTCTTTATACCGCCAAGAGATAATCAAAGTTAAAATTTCTTCCTCTCTGAAGATGAAAGAAGAAGTGGGTATAATGAATGAAAAAGCACCAAAGACAAATTCATATCTAATTACAACAATTTTCAGGTCGAACTGCCTCATATTTACCATCTATAAATGATTATATGGAAATGGTAAATGATCATAATATTCGATGGTGCTTAATATTTTTAATGGTACTTTTTTTCATAATAACATGGCTCAACTTATAAATTAAAGAATTTAGCAGAGCCCTTCGTTGGTAACTAAGTACCAGAGGCTTAGGTCGGCTTCCAATAACGGAATTTTTGTCATGGAACGAAGATCAACTCCATGCTCCTTACTCTTAGATGATAATGGGATGATAAGAAAGTTTTCACCTCTTATCACAAAGTTCTCAAATTTCAGCTAGTTGCAGCGCCTTACTCAGCATATGATCAAATTCTGCGATTACGTCTCTCAACATTTATGCTTTTCGATATCTCTGAAATGGGAAAGCTGGTTTCATTTTCTACATCTTAACAAATAAGACTATTGCAATTTGCATAGCACCTTTCAATTGACCTATATAATTTCTATTTTTCAGGCACTTATTTCTGGTATTTGCGCTTTATTAGGAAATTTTTGTATTTTACCACTAATGCAAACACGTTTCGGTCCACAGACACTAATAAAATTATCATTCACTATCTTATTTATTGGTTATATTTTTCTTAGCCGAGTCAGTGATTACAGTTTTATACTTATTGGAATGCCGATACAAGTGAAAATTTAAAAAATCATAAAATTCCTAATAGCCTAAAATTATAAAATTCCTGTGACTTTCTTAAAATATAGGATTTTGTAAGTATAAATTTAACAATATTTTTAGCACTGCCAAATTTATTTCTATACCTATTTTATATAATAAAACCATAAAATAATTAGAAAAATAAGAAACCCTATTTGCAATATTTATCTATTTGATTAGGCAATAAACTTTAGATGGTAGCTGTTTGTACAGCGAGTGGACAATTAGCAACACAAATATTTGCACATGTCGCAAGACGAAATATGGGTAAGGCAGCAGCACTTAATCGTGCAACACAACTTCTTGCTTCAGTATTTGCACCGCTTCTATCGAGTTTTTTAATGAGTGCACGAGAGACGACAACCACAATTTGTTATGTATGTGCTGCAATCAGTCTTCTCGCAATTTTATTAGTTCATTATTATGGTTCATTTATGAAAATACATCCACAGTATTTACCTACACAACTTTACAATGAAAAAACAACGTAATTTGTTAAGAAATAATTAAATAATTGCCAATTTTGCATAATTTTCTCAATAATTTATTCGATTCTCGTTAATTTTTAATTAAATAGACTTTTAAAAAAAGCTTAAAAATCAATGATCATATAGATAAGTGATATGACAATATACGAAATATCCATCATACTATTAATTTATATTTTTTGATTTTTTTGACAAAAAAACTTGCTATGAGCATCAAATTGTTTCAAAAATTGTTGCTGCAAATAATTGATAAAAATGATAAAACCATGTTGATTAAAAATAGCAAATTATAAATGTTATTAAATAAAATAAACTAAAGTAAAATTCTACAAAGGATGGATAAATTCTTAAATTCCGCAACAAAAACACATATAAGGCAAAATAGCCGAATGTTATATTCTCACAACTAAGTTCAAAAATTCAAATTTAAATTTAAATTTAAAAGCAGTGCTTTTTGCAATTTTTCGAAGGAAGCAAATCACCATTAAGGGATGGTATAAGCGACTGATCTTTACATCTCACCTATCACCTATTTAGGTGAGCCTTTGATAAAACATATTAACTTAGCAGGCAGTGCAGTGAAAAGCCGAGTTGATGAAAATTGTTTTTTAAAAATTATTTGGAAAATTAGAAATTACTACTATTATTATCATTAGTTATCAGCGATTATTATCGCTGTTATTATCGACATTACCAACAGTATTTCTAGTGTCACTTTTACTAAACTACTTTTTAATTATTATTGTCTCATTAATAAGGAATGACTGGAATCAAAACATAATAAACTGTCATAATTATTACGCTAATTGTTAATCATTACTTTGATATTTCTATGGATCTATTTCGAACAATTATAATTTGACCTATTTTTATCCGCGAAAGATCTGCGTGAAACGTTTGATATATGGTAAAAAAATTTTAGAAAAATAGATGAATATAGATAAATATTCCATATTCTTTATTTTAGTGATATAGCATGGGATTTTTATAACAGAACAGAAAATTTCCTTCATCTAATTCCTTTCATTCTCCAATTGACTTTCATTTATTCCTTTTTTCTTCTATACTACTATTCTCCATTTTTTTCATCTCATAGAATACGAAATTCCAAGCGAAAAATCCCTTCGAAAACTTTAATTACTTAAATATCCTACAAAAACCGGTTTTATGATACGGAGAAATCAATGAAATAAAATAAAGAAAATAATGAAAACGGGTTGGATTCCGTGCCGTATAATACGATTCTCGAAGATCATTTGTCCTCATTGATTTCATTCCTTCACTTTATTCCTTTTCTTTATTCCTTTTTCCCTTAATAAATTTTTCAATATGCTTGAAAGAAAACAACGAATTATACTTATATTATGTGTTATGTTCGGATTATGGAATATGGGAACCCAGTGGACAACAACACTTTTGTCATTCTTACAATGGGATACAATACATGTTTGTTTCATTTTCTTCATCTTATTTTGAATATAAAATTAATTTAATAACTATAAATATTAACGAACTAAATCTAAGGTGATGACAATCGTTGACATCAGTTATATACAATCGTTTGGTAGTTTCTGTAATGCGATAGGTGCGTTGGCTGTTGGACAGGTAATTTTTAAAGTAAATATCAAAGCCATTTTTCAACGGAGAAATATTAAATGAGTTCTAATATATAATAAATCAACTGAAAGATTAATAATTTTCAATAGGAAAAAAAAAATCGTCTTCAATGTAAAATAATTTGCACCGAAATCCCCATTCTTTGAGGTAAATATATCGAACTGACAATAAGTGATAAAACTGATATGGTGAAAAAATCGAATAAGTGTAAACTGACGGGGTTAGCATATAGTTTTCTGGATGAGACCAATTGCGATAAAATTTTTTATAATATTAGACCTACGATGTGATCAATTTGAAGAATTAAGATGGCTGATACGATGGGACCAAAAATGATGTTTCTTTTCTCGGCAGTCGTCATATCAATTTACTATTCATTAATAGCATTTGCGAGATGTTGGTACTCATTCTTCTTTCTTCAGGTAATTAATAAGGCAAAAAATAATCCAACTTATCCAATTTATCAATGTTATGTATAAAAAATAATATTGCTAGCATTAAGTTGATTCATATTTCATGCAGATTATACCTTTTTTTTTAAGTTCCACGAAAATTCGCATCATCTTAGAGGCAGAAATTTATATGTAGTTTAGCTCTAAATTTTCCTTATTATCACATTCACCATTCATTATCTGTTTTTATTTCTTCATTCTTTTTAATCCTCAATCTTCAAATCTTAATTCGGGCAAATCGAACAATCAAGGTCCTTTTAAGATATTACGAGTCGGTTATCAACTTGATGCGACAGCTGAAATGTATCTGGCGACAGTGACAACCGAACGTGAACGAACATCTGCTTTAATGCGCCTTACTGTCCCGCAGGTTTTTTTATTCAAACATTTTTCATAGAAAAAAATTATTATCCGCATATGAATCTTCTAAATCTGTTCTAATCAAAATTCTTTCACAGGCTATAGCGATGTTTTTTGGACCAATGGTCGCATCACAATTAGCTATCCACACCAATCTTAGAACATCACAATTCATTTGTGGAATAGTTCTATTTGTTACTTTGGTGCCAGTTATTTATAAATTTCTTCCCGAGACACATTCAGTACCAAAACTAGCAACAGCACGACTTAGGCCTCAGGTAGAATTAGTAGCTTAAAAGAAAGTTTGAATAAATTGATAAAACTCAAAAATAGCAATATTTAAATTATATTATTTTTCTCTTTTTGTGCTATAGATTTATACCATCCATATATGATTGATAAGTGATACAAAAACCAAGTCAATATCATCAATAACTATCGCATTTTTTTCAGGATTATTTTCCAATGATAAAAAGTAACTCAGCGCTTCGTGAAGGTCTTGTACTTCGTGGATTACTTATCGCCTCTTATGTTTGCTATGAATTAATTGCTAGAAACTTTCTCCTTCGGTCATTCATGCAGGTTATTCCTTCTTTTCAGTTCCATGAAAATTCGTATCTCAGAAGCAAGAATTTATTTATTATTTCAGGGTCCTAATGATTCTGCTAAAGTATTAACCGTTATGGGTTTATCTTTACTTATTGTTCAATTTCTCATACTGCCAATATTACAACGGAATTTTTATCCGAAAACCGTTCTTAGTATAGCGCTTACTGCCCTTATTGCTTCATACTTCGGTGTTACTTTTACGACGAATCTCGAACAAGTTCTTGTGATTATTGCAATACAAACATCCTCATACGCAGTCGCTTATGCCGAGAGTTGTACACAAATTACAAGGTAACTCTGAATTCTAAATTGCATCCTCCATAAAAATTCTTCATAGTAAAACAATTTAGAAAGCGATTTTTTATTCACACTGTGTATCAAAATAATCCTATATAGTGCTGTCAATGCTCTTTTCAGCGCTGTCGATATGGCTGACCTGGGTAAAGCGACAGGACTAGCATCAACGGCGCAGTGGACCGCACATTTTCTGGTACCAATATATACTTCACATCTTGTGCAATCATGGCACTATACGTATGCATTCTATACTAGTGCAATGTTAACTGTGCTAACGCTGTTCTATGTCATTTTCTTGACTAAACACTCAAATGCTAGGGTTCGCAATCTTCTACCTTCCATTGGTATTATTTAATTGAAAGTATATTAATAAAATATATTTTCTTTATATAAAATTTATAAAATTAAATTTTAAAAATATTAAATAATAATACCAATAGAATATAGCGGAATAATAGAACAAGAAGCAAATAAGGAAAAATATAATCAAAATCAAAATATAATCAAAAAATGCATAACTTAAACGCTGATTGAATTTAAAAATAAAAATATTAATAAAAATATTAATAATAAATATTAATCTAAAAATATTAATAATTCATATATTTTAATTCATATTCATATACGGGAAAACAGATTTGAATTATTAGTATACGTCATTTCTTACATTCACTTAATAACTATTACAAATTTAATATTTAATAATTTTTCACATCAACAAGAAATTTGATATAAATTATTTCAAAAAACAATTTCTATGAGAAAAGTGGAAAAATCAGAGTTAATAAGTGGAATTAAAACTTTTCTAGAAGAATTTTTCGCAAAAATAGAAAAATGTTACCAATAGATAAATAAAACTCTCATTTTTCATGAAAAACTATTATTCTGAGGAAAACTAATATTTTTGGCAAAAGTAGAGAAATTAAAATTCACAATGAAGTAAAAATAAAACTAAGATTTTTTACAAATTCGGCTCAAAAATTCAGAAGTAAAATTGATTCATTTAAAATAAAATTAAAATTGTATGTTATTAAATTATATAAATTTTTATGTATATTTATTGATAATGATAAAATTATACATTGATAATGATTAGTCAAATTTTCGATATTTATCTAAAAAATGAAATTGATATGGATTATATATAATATATATATATATAAATTTTAAATATCTGCTAACTCTCTTTGCTTCACTTCAAATCTTCTAAAATATTTGATGATAGGTTCAAATTGTTGAAAGATGGTATAATTTTTTTTAAACATTTGATGTAAAATTCCCCTTATGTTAAAATTGGGAAAAATTTTGGGCAAAAATACGATAAACCAACTAACCAGCGCAAAGACAAATATCAACTTGAACGAATTGAGCCAGCCGTCGACTTACTTGAAACACCTAAAGTTCAAAATTTCAAAAAAAATGCATAAACATTAATGCGAAGAATATAAGTCCTGTACTAATATTATGCTGTTGAATACTATATGCTTTTCGATGCATAAAACAGTTCGATATTTAAAATATAAATTCCGGTAATACTGGATCTAACCTGAATAGCAAGTTCCCTAGTCGGAACTAAAATAATAACACGGGTGACTGATTTTCGCTGCGGTTTATATAGAAGCCTTTCAAGTATAGGTAGCATAAATGCTGCAGTTTTACCAGTACCAGTTGCTGCACACGCACATAAATCACGCCCTGCAAGAGCAAGTGGAATACAAGCAGCTTGAATTGGCGTTGGTTCGATGAATCCACAATTATTAATTGCCTAAAATTTAAGACACTTTGTATTTTTTATTTAAAATTTCATTCTGAGAATTAAAAATTGAGCTTTAAATTTGTATCTCAAATTCAATTTTTAAATTAAATTCAAATTAAACAACAGGCAAATAAGAAAATTAATAAAATGAATATGATCGAAGAAATAATCCTCAAGATAATAAGGTCCAAACCTTGAGCAAAGGGCGTGAAAGATTCATTTGTGCAAAATTAAGACAACAAGAACTGGCTGACATGCTTTTCGCCGAGACACTTTCATCAAAGAAAGCATTCTCCGATTTCTCTGGACGTTTCTTACTTTTTTTGTTCCGCACACTGTCTAAATTAAATATGATTAAATAAAAGTTGTTAGAATATTTTGCCACGAATATACGATGAAGATCACTGTTTTCTACTTAGTTTTCTTTTTATTTTTAAGATAAATAATGGGAATAAATGCAAAATTGCTTATGCATAAATGCTCCATCGCACCACTTAGAATTCACTTGGACTTGAGTGTAAATGACAGATTTATCTCTCATGTAGAGAGAGGTATGTTTTGTGGGAACAGCCAAAAAAATAAAATGGAAAACATATTAATGTTTCCATCAGAATTTTGAATTTTAAAATAATCTTATCAAATGACAAAATGAGGAAAATACCAATTAATCTAACCATTAACATTTCTCATTTCTTGTACGATTCCGTTATCACCATCGTCAACTTCGTTATCAACATGAATATTATTTAAAGATAATTTATTTCTCATTTTTTCAATTTTCTCTTGCAATGTATTTGAAACATTTTTTTTAAAATAAGCGCGTACATCTTGCAAATCATCCTCCATATCTGAACCATAATTACAAACAAACAAACTTTAAAATAAATGGGCATCGTAGGACAAATTTTATATACGACGGAAATTGCGGTCTATAAAAAGCTGAAAAGACGAAACCGATGGTTTAATTATAGAAAAACACTGAAAGAAAGTATTATTATTTTGACATGAACGATAAATTCCTATGTAAAACTACTTTTATTTAACTTGGAAATTAAATTTTTGCGTCCTAAGGTCCCATATTTTCTAAAGTAAAAATCTCCCACAGCACTGATGAACAATCTCTTGGATAGAAAATTTGCAGATATAGCCAAATACTTTTGCGCTGTCCTTGTTTAATACTGAATACCAGACACTACTTTCACCAACTGAATAGATTATTCTCCCATTTTATAATTGTTAGCTCATTTACGAATTTTTCTGAAAAGACTGCAGTGAATGCATGGCGTTGCCGCCTTGCTTGACTGGTTTTCAATAAATAAATAAATAAATTTCGCAGTCATCTGAGAATTCCGCATTATCTGCTGCATTAAAATGATGTAGGCGGCAGCAAAATAATCTAAAATAATGTAGGCGAATTTTTAGCGCTCATATGCCGTGTAGCTTCTTTAAAAACCACTGATTATTTTTTTTTCATTTAACAGATGCAATCTTTTATGCCAAAATAATTTTTAATTAAATTTAATTTTTAAATAGGAAGACGTCAAACAAAGATTATGAACATCAGAAAAAGTAGCATGCAACCAAAAGTCCAAAAAGAAATATGATTAAGTTCTGTGGTAGGCAATTAATTAACCTACTTAAAACTAGGAGTTCTAATAAAATATAAGTGGATGAACTGCTTAAATTTTTAATACCACATTTCTGCATAGATTTGGTAGCAGCAATAATGTTTTGCATTATATGAAATCGGTTTTTCGGATCACAGTTTTCTAAACTGAACTTGAACTTTTCCTTCTCACAATCCTACTTCAACAGAAAATTTTCGATTTCGACTTTTTAGCAAAGTAACGATTTACTAAAACTACAAGTAAAACTAAAATAGAAATTAAACTCAATGGTTTATTTGTAATTTGCAGTGATAATATTTTTGACTCTGTTTATTTTTTTTTCATTTAACATTATCAAGATGAATTTTAATATTTGCGATTTATGGATGTTTCCACCTTATCATTTAATTGAATCTTAAATAATGAGTAATAAATTTTAATGAAAGAAAAAGACGGTACGAAGCCGAAAATTAAAGAATGCAACCCTATCAAATCTTCGAAAATTTTACCTTCATTGATTTTATCGAAATGGAAACGAAAATTTTCATCAAATTCCGAGCAAAATCCCGTTTTCTGTTTTTTTCTCACCGAAACAAACTGCAAAAAAACTTAGCAATTTATATAAAAATTAAGCTCTCATCATTTCTGCGTAGGCTTGTTTCGCCAGCTGTTAGAAAATTTTTATTTAGCTAGGAATATAGATGCATCACCAGCGTTTTTCAGGATTTTTCAATGAATTTACAAAGGATCTATTCCTGTCGGGGACAGAAATAAACCTTTGCCTTCCATTTGTCCAGACAATATTCATTGTGCTATCGTTAATAATTTATACAAAGGCATACGATAAAAATTTTTCGAAAGCAACGACCTACATCATCTTCTTCACTCGGATCACTCGAACCCTCATCATCATTGGCACTTGTATCGATTGTCGGTGGATACAACATTTTGTTCCGAAAAAAGAACTCCTGAAATAAATACAGTCACCGAGGTGGTGCAACATACCGTGGGACAATAACAGTCCATAACGAAAATATCTTAACGGAGTTAGCCCGAGGCGCTGTTAGGAAAACGTAGTAGTAGGGCACGCGAAAGACAATGTCCGAAAATTAACCAATCTTCCAGAATTGGTTCGACTTATGGGATTCTTAGCAAGAAAGCCGATGATGGCGAATGCAATAAAAAACTAAATTATTAATTATTAAAATTATTTAAAATAGAAAAAAATCGGCTGAAAACGAAAATTATTTCGAAAATATTCCAAATTAATTGAATTGCGAATAGCAAAGGAAGAAAAAGGACTCGAAAAAAATAAGGAATAAATTTCTGGATACATCGTTCTCCACTAAAAAACCTTTTACAGAAAAAAATCGCTTTTCAAAAATTTGAAGAATTGACCGCAACTGCAAATTCTAAAACATCGGATGATCCTCATTCATAGTCGAAATAGATAACATCATTACAATTACAGAAGAAGCGGGTGGGGGGAGGGGGTGAGGGTGGTTTTCTGGTCCTATTAGGCTATATGGGGTAATGTACCTTGAAAACTGGTTGGCAGGAGCTGGTTGCTTCGAAAGAGGGGACACGGGCCTAAAATCCAAACAGCTGTTGGAAGTAGATCTGTCGAATGATCTTCTAACGGAAATACCATGCTAGTGCAGTAAGAATAGTTAGAAGATGAATAAGAAGGCTTAGCCTAATATCTGGCAAAGCCAAATGCTAAATAAGCTCTAATGAGGCCAAAATTCCAGAACATTGGGCCTTGAAGGCCTATAAGTTTTACGACGATGCGTTATTTCCACTTTACTTCAGGGCTTATTTCTAACCTGTTATGCACGCAACTCCAGGGATGTAGTATTCCATGAATTGCTTAATTTTGCTGAAGTTGATAGACTTATTTATCCAAATTGCAGCAATAGTTTTATATCCAAGAAAAATTCAGTGCTTTCAAGAACTTTGAGAGATAGGTGAGGGATTATTCAGGATTATTCTCTTTCGTAACTCAGTTTTCCTGGGCTATCGCACCATTGTTTTCTTCTGGCTTACATCTGACTAATTTGCATCGTCAAATCGAAAGAAGCACGTCGTGAGGAAAGATTTGACATCCAGAAATAAGGCAACAATAATGAAAAGGCGAATTTAAAATACAAAAAATGGAAAAAGGTGGATATGAACGATCTGGCTGATTATCAAGCTGAATGGTAAGGAAGAGGAGTTTCATGGAAATGCCAAACTCAATAAATAAGCCGAATACTGCATCTATCTTTATATGAAACGAGAAGTTTAGGTTGGATGTTTGGAGGCAAAATTTTAGGATATGCCGTGTATCTCAATGAATCTGTTCATAGGCCATATTTGTGCTTTTTTTCACGAGATTTTGCTTTTGCATTCAAGATATTCATAAAATTTTGGTGTTTTATTTACTTATTTATTGAAAAGCTGCTCGGACGGCAATGAGGATTTTATATAATTAAGATAATTGTAATATAATTATCTTTTGCATAATCCTAGTTCAACTGTTGTATTTGCAAAAACTAAGAAAGGTTATCACGGAGTGAAAATTATTTTAGGAATAAAATAAAATTATTAAAAAATTATATGTGTATGCATATATAAAATTCATCTATTGACTTATCACCAATTACTTGTCGCCAATCACCAAAGTCAATTACAGTTTCACAAAGTGTAAAAGTTTACTCGTAATTCACATATCGCTGGTAGGCGGCTATATGAGCCAGTTGAACATTTGACATTATTGAGACCATTCGAAATGCCTAAAAATATAACCTAAAATTATTATCGATTATTATTAGAAGTAAGGTCAAAACATCGGAAAAATGGAATCAATGCCACAACGAAAAGTGAGGAATTCTGTAAAAGAGGAAGGAAGGAGAGTATGAGCAAAATATACCAAAAAAAGAGCTTATTCATCTATTCAGTGTATGCCTTTACAATGCCTTCGTCAGCAGCTATATACGATCCATCGGATAGGAGGTGTCGATGAATTGATTCCTTTAATATGACAGGAATAAGTGACTTGCAATTTTTTGGTAGAATAACCGAGGCAAACGCTATTTTCAGATGCGAAACGAGGCTGGAAGAAACAATTCATTAATTATAGTTTTCAGTGCATTATTATCAATTAATCATTGACTATTAATCATCAAGCAACTACAATATAGTCAGTCAAACTAGTCAGAAGACCTGTCGTAATTCATGAAAAAAGAAAAGGGTCTCATGCGAAATCAAAAATGAATCAAAGTTCTTCAACAGAAACCTCTCGCTCAAATAATCATAAATGAACTGCAAAACAGACTCGATTTTTATTTTCACAGTTCTTATAACCTTAAATTTGTTGGAATAGAGTGATAAATTTTGCAAAAAATCAGTGTTTCATTTCATGTTTTAGCACTTTTTTAATAAATGTAAATTCAAATGCATTTAAATTATAACCAATGACCAAATTGCAAAAAAAACCCGTACTTTTCCTCAGTTCAAAAGTTTATTAAGATTGGGTATTAAGATTTGCTGATTCTTAACAATCAACCATAAAAACCTGTACTGATTCTGCCCTGTTTATTTTGGCTTGGAAAATCCTCAATAGTGAGTTCGTCTTAATCCAGCTTAAAGGCTTGATGGATTTGTTCTTTTTAAAAAGCAATTCATCCAATTCCTTCTGACAATTGACATTTATACAGGTAAAACAAATGATAGTTTCAATTTTGGTGAATGCGAGTTTCGATTTTATTGGTAGGTCCAGTAATAGTTTAATTTCGAAAGTCTAAAGAAATCAACCTGCTAAACCATTGTCAAAGTAAAAGTTTAGGTGCAAGCTGTATATATTGTGGTGAATCGTAGTTTAAAAATATATAAATCTAATTATATAATCTTCGCCCCACTTCAGGCTATTCATGGAATATTTCATCTATGGAAAATTACTGCAAGTATGGTTTGTGTTTTTTCTCTCAGCCAAAGATTCTCAGCAATATCAATATAATATCTCATTCTACACTATCATTTTATCATCAATACACCACTTTTTTCACCTCCACGATATCGCATTTAATATATTTTAGAGGCGCTGAAATACTTTTATGTCGCTCTATACTTTTGTATATGGCCAGTTCCCTTTTATCTTTGTCTTCTATAAGAAATGTTTATAAAAGGAAAGAAAAAAGGACAGAAGGATGCTTTTGGACTGATGCTTGATCACTTATTTAATGATGCGTCTTCAGTGCGAAAACAATTTTATTAGTGCTAAAGCTCAAATTATGATAGATAATGATGGAATGATAGGTTAAACAAGCAATTTTGCCTTTGATTCGAAATTTGAGAGCAGATTTCAAGATTTCCGAAAAAACCAGCAATAGTGAAGTGTCTTCGCGACACCAAATTCAGCCAACACAAAAATATTATCTACGAATTTTCGAGTGGAATGGACAAAATTGCAATCATTTGAAAACTCAAGGAAAAATTTCATCAAGTCTCCTCAGTTGGCTTTCATAAAACCTATCTTCTCAGAGATGTATCACTGGATTCAAAATCTCGCTTCATCGCCCTTATAGCAATGGTTTGTGTTTTTTCTCTCAGCCAAGCCTTTCCCTCAGCCTTATAGCAACGCGCTCATATATCATTGTTAACTTGTGTTTGTAAAGATGAAAGAACGAAAAATGAAGAGTTAGAAGGAAAATTTCTGATAAATATCTCTGAGAAAATTGCAGTTAGTTCCATAGAACCATTCCATTTAGGGATAGGATGGCTTATTGGGTTTTCGCTCAATTCGAGGAGCCGATACTAAAGTTCTATTCCCCGCAGGAGTAAACCTATCCGAAAATCCGGGTGATGCTGGCAGCTTTTTATCTATCGCCAAGGAACTCCTGGCAAATCCAGTGCGATAAGCCAGCGAAGCGAGTTTAGCCAGCAATAGTGAAAACTCTTAAAAAGAAAAGTTCCATAGAACCAAACCTGGCCAACTAGCGTAAGAAAACAAAAAAATAAGTTCAAATATTACCATATTTCCATATTACCATATTTTACCATATTATCGCTATTACCATATTTTCTTTTAATTTTGTAATAATTATATTTTTTTCTTTTTATATTTATATTTGTTTTTTTTCTACTTTTTAG